ACCCCTTAGTAGTGCCACTCCCTATGCACAAAGCATTCAAACACATGAGTCTATGGAGACCATTCCTATTCAAACCTCCACATGGGGTTACAAATATGAACCACCATGTTGGCATTATTTGTATTTAATCCTTCAGTTCTAAGTATTTTTTGTTTGTTTTAAAGATTTATTTATTACATATACACCAGATTGAATTGTAGATGGTTGTCAGCCACCATGTGGTTGCTGGGAATTGAACTCAAGACCTTTGGAAGAGCAGTCAGTGCTCTTAACCTCTGAGCCATCTCTCCAGCCCCCCCAGTTCTAAGTATTTTAAATTACGCAATTTGCTGCATTTGTTCTTCCTCAATCCTTTCAATATTTGTTATTACCTATTTTCTTATCCCTACCCCACTTTTAAAGATTCCTATTTTGAAATAAATATCTAGTGAATGCCCAGTATTTGTTGCATAACAATTGTTCTGAACTCTATGGTTAAGAAATTCTGTTGGAAGCCTAGCATGGTAGTGTACACTTTTAATCCCAGCACTCGGGAGGCAGATGGATCTCTGAGTTCGAGGCCAGCCGGGGCTGCATTGAGAAACCTTGTCTTGAAGAAGAAGAGGATGAGGATGAGGACGAGGTCAAGGAGAAGAGAAGAGGAGGAGGAGAGAAGAAGACAACGACGGCGAAGAAGTTCTGTTTGGCTTCGTGGAGATGATTCAGTTGGTAATGTGCTTGCCCAGCAAGCATAAGGATCCAAGTTTGCTTCCCCGTGAAAACGGGGGTGGGAGAGGTGGGGGGATGGGGGACAGCAACCCTGTAATTCCAGTGTTGGAGAGTCAGAGATGGGCAGACCCCTGGGGCTGGCTGGTCACCCAGTCTACCCAAGTTGTTCAGCTCCAGGTTCAGTGAGAGGCTCTGGGGAGTAACTGAGGACGCCTCCCCACCTTCAGCTCTCGTCTCCATAAGCATACACACACACATATAAACTGCATTTGGTTGGTGGCTTCATCTGATCAATTAATCACATTGCTGCCTTCATCAGCCAATCACACTTTCAAGAGCAAAATACCTGCTCAGTAAGTGCCTTGCCTCGTGCTAGGTTCTAGGGATCCACAGGAAAAGAGGAGACCCCTCTTCCGGTGGCTCTAATTTACTAAATGGACGCAGGACATGGGTGTTTTGAACTTGCAATGATTTAATTTTTTCACACATTATTATGGTTATTCTTGTGCATGTGTGTAGTCAGGGGTGAAAGTAGACATGGAAGTCAGAGGACAACCTTCAGGTTGATTCTTTCCTTCCACGATGTGGGTCCTGGGGATCAAATTCAGATAGTGAGGTTTATTAGCTGATGTAGGATGTCCTTCTATATGCTTCGAATATAAGTTGCTTTTATTGGTTGATGAATAAAGCTGGTCAATGGCCAGGCAGAATATAGCTAGATGGGAAATCCAAGCAGAGTTACAGTGAAAAAGAAGGTGGTGTCAGGGAGACCTCACATAGTCGCCGAAGGGTAGGTAGGATGCCTGAACATTACTGGTAAGCCACAGCCATATGGTGATGTACAGATAAGTAAAAATGGGTTAATTTAATTGTGAGAGCTAATCAGTAATATGCCTGAGCCATTGGTCAAACAATTATAATTAATATTAAGCCTTAGAGTGGTTATTTGGGAATTGGCGGGCAGGATGACAAAACATCCAACTATAATCAACATTTGCCTTTATCTTAGTAGCTCTTATGCTGATTAAAAATATTTTATTTTTATTATTTTAATTATGTATATGTGATGGATAGTTTTATGTCAAAGTGACACAAGCTATAGTCATCTGAGAGGAGGGAACCTCAATTATGAAAATGCCTCCATAAGACTGTACTGTAGGCAAGCCTGTAGGGCATTTTCTTAATTAGTAATTGATTGGGGAGGGCCCAGACAATTGTTTGTGATACATCCTGGGCTGGTGGTCCAGGGTTCTATAAGAAAGCAGGCTGGCTGGGCGTTGGTGGTGCATGCCTTTAATCCCAGCACTCGGGAGGCAGAGGCAGGCGGATCTCTGTGAGTTCGAGGCCAGCCTGGTCTACAAAGTGAGTTCCAGAACAGCCTCCAAAGCTACAGAGAGAAACCCTGTCTCGAAAAACCAAAAAAAAAAAAAAAAAGTTTGAACCATAATATCTGCCTCTGGGTGTGTGTGTGTGTGTGTGTGTGTGTGTGTGTGTGTGTGTGTGTGTGTGTGTGTGTGTGTGACAGGACAAGCCTAAGCTATAGGTCAAGCTTTTATAATTAATAAAGTCTCCATGTCATTTTTGTGAGCTGGCAGCCCAAAGAAAAATCTGTCTACAGCCTCTGCATCAGCTCCTGCCTCCAGATTTCTGCCCTGTTTGAGTTCCTGTTCTGGCTTCACTTTCCTCCCCAACTTGCTTTTTGATCATGGTGTTTGGTTGCAGCAATAGAAACCCTAAAATAGAGTGTATATGCACATGCTCTAACCACTGAGCAATCTTTCCAGACACTTTATGCTGACTTTTACAATTGCACATTTTTTGTTATTAGTAAGATAGATATGAATCTTCATTAGGTATTTTGAAATACCATAAATGAACTATGGGCTCCTGTGTTCCATTTCCCTGCTTGATGCAAGTGTTTTCTTTATAGTATTCTTGAGGGCAGCTGATTTCAGTTTGAACTTGGCTGAACCTCAGAGACTGTGCAGACAGCTTGAGTACTCACAGATAAGGACTGGTGAGATCAGGAACGTTTATCACACAGGGTTTTCTCCTCAGTGAAGGAAATGTGTAGCTTGTTTCCCACCCCAAAGGCTGGACGTGGACATTGTTAATAACCTATGACCTATGTTATTTGTACAGCCAGACCTTATCCCCCATGTTTATCCCAGACTCTTACTCCCTAGATCCTTATTTTTAGCTTTGTTTCTCAGTCAATGGGAACCTTTCTTAGAGGAGAAGTCACATGTACTTTACAGCTTGCTGATTTCTACTCTATTTCAGTTAGAGACCACACCAGATCCTAGGCCAGAGGCTCAACACCTTCCTAAGGCTGCAGTCCTTTAGTACAGTTCCCCACACTGTGGTGACCCCAGCATAAAATTATTCTCATTGCTAGTTTATAGCTGCAAATTTTCTAGTGTTATTGAACTGCAATATAAATATTTTTGAGATAGAGTTTTCTCAAAGGGGCTGCAACCCACGGGTTGAGAACCACTATCCTAGACCCTTAAGCTATCAAACTCATCTTTATAGTAGAGGTCACATGTACTTTGCAAAAGAATTTCAATGTAGACATGCCTTAAGCTTTATTGTGTAGGAAACTTTTTCCCAAAATCATATTGTACTTAAATATGTCTAAAATAAACTGACCTGGTGTCAGACTCCAGAAGATGAAGCAGAACTGACTAAGTGGAGTTTTTCTTCTTATCCCACATGGAACTTTCTCTGATGACTGTCACGCTTGCAGGGACCCCAACAACAATGGGGTCAGTCCTTATTGACCCTGCTTGGTGTTCAGCATCAGAACTCAAAGGTCATTCTTTGATGTTCCCTAATAGCTATCCTGTCTGTTTCCTCCTGGCAGCTTTCCATTGTACCTGAAACAAATATCCCGTTTCCCAGCTTGCTTCTCAGCTACCCTCCTCTCATGGCTGAATAGTTTATCCATACACACCCTTACAGATTTATGTATTTTGCTTTATGTGCATGAGTGTTTTGGTTGCATGGATGTATGTGAGTCCAGTTCCCATGGTAGTCAGAAGAGGGCATCAATACAACAGAGCTAGATTTCTAGATAGAACTGAACTTCAGTTGTGAGTGTTCATGTGGGTGCTGGGAGTAGAACTCAGGTCCTCTGTAAGAGCAGCAAGTGTTCTTAAGCACCCAGACTTCTCTCCAGTTCCAAATATACATTCTTAATACCCATCCTAAAAATAATGACAAGGGGTGTCCTGGAGGGAGTGTTCTTCGGGCTCAATAATGTTTTCTGCCATGGAGTTCGATGAGGAGCTCTTACCACAGGTCCTGAGGGTTAGAAAGGACCACAGAAATTTTATACAAAGGAACACACATAGTCCACAGTTAAATCTCTTGAACTGCCTCTCCTCTATTCTATGTTGCATAGGTTGGTTTCTGCTCTTGAGTTATTGTCTTGATAACTTCAGCTTCCCATGTAACTATTACAATGACAGGGATGCACCATAACAATTGGCTTTCAGTTCTGGTTTTCTTTTTTTTTTTTTTTTGGTTTTTCGAGACAGGGTTTCTCTGTGGCTTTGGAGGCTGTCCTGGAACTCGCTCTGTAGGCCAGGCTGGCCTCGAACTCACAAAGATCTGCCTGTCTCTGCCTCCCGAGTGCTGGGATTAAAGGCGTGTGCCACCAACGCCCGGCTTCAGTTCTGGTTTTCATGGAGGTTGTATAATATGAAGTCAATTCCAGCACTAAATCAGTGAATCAGTGCTCCCAGAGGAAACCCAGGATTAGCTTCCTGAGAGTGTCAGGTCACAATTCCATCAACTGAGCAACACAAAATATTCCTTGTTTTGTGTATAAAATAATTATTATTTACTTATTTTTAAAACATTGAAGCAAGGCAAATAGCACTGTAACTCATGTCTGAAGTAAGTTTATCTAACATATGTCTGTTTTTCATAGGGTTTGTCACCAAGCCTTTTTGCATCTGGGAACACTAGAGAGACTAGCAGCACTATTGTGTGGGGCAGTTGTAGAATAGCAAACCTGCCAACCAAAGCACAAGAATGAAGGCAAATGGCCTTCTGTGTATATGTTTGTCTTATTGGTTGATGAATAAAATACTGCTGGCCAATAGGGAAGCAATATGGGTGGAACTAGGAGTTGAGGAGGATTCTGGGAAATGTAGTAAAGAGAAGTCGCCATGTGATCCAGGCAGGAAGTGACATAGCAGGGCAGACTCAGTAGATAAGCAGGGACAAGCAGGAAATCTCCCTTTTCTCTTCTCTTCTCTTCCCCTCTCTCTTTTCTCTTCTCTGCTGAAGCTCAGAACAGATGCTATGTGGACCACAATGGAGTAAGAGTCCAAGATCTTTTCTCCGGTAAGATAAGGCCACGAGGAAATACGTAGATTAATAATTATGGGTTAAGATAAGAAGCCCAAGTCGCCAGCCAACAGCTTATAACTAATATAGTGTGTTGTGTGTTTGTTTGGGGCCTCTGAGGCAGCTGCAGAGCCAGGTGGGAATCTGGTAACACAAGAATGCAAAAATGTAAAAAATAGGGAGGCGCTATAAGCATCAAGTAAGACCATGTCAAACACTTGTCTGCAGTATGAGAACTGGGTTAAGAGGGCAGATTGTACCCTGGTCCCACCTCACCTGAGAATACAGCTTTAGGAGACTTAAATTGTTACTTCAAGTGTTGATTTCTGAGCAACGAATAAATGTGAGTAGGCTAGCTGATGAACATAAACTGTTCAAATAACAGCCTGCCGGGTATGCTTTAAAGAATTTCAGAGCAGTTAATCTGAGCAGTGTATTTGATTTTCTCTTTGAGGCAGGGTCTCTCTACACAGAGAAACCCCATCTCAAGAAACAAAACAACAGCTGGGCGGTGGTGGCGCACGCCTATAAACCCAGCACTTGGGAGGCAGAGGCAGGCAGATCTCTGTGAGTTCCGGACCAGCCTGGTCTACAAGAGCTAGTTCCAGGACAGCCTCCAAAGCCACAGAGAAACCCTGCTTAAAACAAACAAACAAACAAAAAACCCTCCAACAAACCAAATGTATGTATGTATGTAGAGACAGAGTTTGTGTCAGTGCTTTCTTTCTTTCTCTTCTTCTTTTTTAGGTGGGGTCTCACTTGGTAGCTTGGAACTTCCTAGCTGGGCTTGAATTCTTGTGTTAAGGTAAGTCCATCAGAGAACAACACACAGACAATCTTACAGTCTGTATTGCTGACCTGAGACAGGTAATTTGACCAAATTATGCAGCCCTGATCCTCACAGTTCTCCTGGTCCTCACAGTTCTTTGTCCTTTATGCACAACAGCTGCATCCTGGTTGACAAGCTTTAGTTAGTGAGAAGCAGAACTGTGGAAGCCAAAAGGCAGGGTTAGCACATTTAGGAACTTTCCTGGGTCCTGGAACTATGGACCAGGTCCTGATGGATTAGGTCTTTACACCCTTTTTGGCTGGTGTTGAGGCCTGTGTGCTGGGTTTTAAGGTCGATAAGGCATCTCTAACATGGGGTCCGTTGTGCTAATGTCTTGGGAGCTTGCTAAAAATTTACAGAGATCCACCTGCTTCTGATTGGATTACAGGAGCTCATTGCCATGGCATTTGCTATTAGCTTTTAGACAGGGTTTCAGCTGTGTGGCCCTGACTGTCCTGGAACTTGCTCTGTAGACTAGGATGGCCTCGATGGAACTCATTAGAGTCGGCCTGCCTCTGTGAGCCAATAAGCCTGGCTCTGACTTCATTTTTAAAAACATGTTATCTACATGTGGAATTCTGACTTTATTAGTGTACATCGTGCTGTAGCTCGCACCCTGATTGATGAAACTATCCTCTCCAATGGATATAGAACGTTTCGAACACTCCAAAGAATCCTCAGAGTTCTGAGTTTCCTCTATGGCCTTCCCCCTCACTGTAAAGGGCGGAAGTACAGGAACAAACACAGAGTGGTACAGATGCCAGGTTATAGGATTTTTTCCTCCTGCTTGAGAAACTTTGTCTGGATCTGATCTGTAAGCGTTTCGGGTGGATCGGGATGGGTCAGGTATTCTGGCACTCGGTAGTCATAGAATAATGAGTGTGATCAGTCAGTCTAAAAGGCCCTATGAAAAACTAGCCACTAGAACCGCAGCGCATGTGCAGACGCTCTACACTGCCTCCTGCCCTGTCCCCATACCCCGGCCCCGCCCCCGACGCCCTGCCCCCGACGCCGAGGCCCCGCCCCCGACGCCTCAGGCAGGGAACCCCGACTTTAAAGCGCTCTGGCTCATTTCAGGCTTCAGTGTGTGGGAGACCGCCCGAAATCCCGTTGCTCTTTCCTCCGGGTCCGCTGCTGGAACCATGTCTTCTGCCGCGTCGACGTCTCTGCGCCAGCGCCGGGTGTTTGTGGTTGGTGTTGGCATGACAAAGGTAAACAGAGCTGTGAGGCGCCGGACGGGAGTTATGTCCCTGTGATGTCCCGCAGCCCCGAGGTGACAGGAAGCGTGGCCCGGGGACGGTCGCCGGCTACACTGCTGTCCCATCCCTTCCAGAGTTGGGTGGGCTTCAGAGAGGCGACTCGGGGGGGTTTATGATGCTGCTCCTAGGGTCGCAATGTCTCGGGTTTGTTCCCTCAGCTACCTTTTCTTCGCCTTCCTGTTTCCCTTTTCTTTCTGCTGAGCCTGTGAAGGAGCTCCTAAGATAACCTAGACCTAACATTTCCATAGATTCTAAATCCCGACGTAGGCCGTCCGGGTGGCTCGCACCTGTTTGTGGTGTGAGCTTTCGGAGGTGCAGCCAGGAGTTCGAGGCCATAGAGGATTATGCTGCAAGTCCTTGTGTTTCACCAAGCGAAACAAGCCGAAGTGACTGAAAAAGATTTGGAGCTTGGACAGAGACCAGGGCTGTCTTCAGAAAGAAGAGGAGACTGTGAATACCACCAGCCCTGTAGTGGCTATAAGTGCCCTTCTCGATAGCAGCGGTGTGGTGTGGTTATGAACAAGGGAGGCTCCCTCCATCCTCTGACCATGATGCTGTTCCTCTGGTACTAAGACGACCAGAAGTTTCTATAGCCTCCTCTCTCAATACCCTGACTACTCTCGTGACCTAGTAATGCCAAGTTACCTGTAGCTTGTCTCAGTCTTCGGCCGCTTGCATCTAGTGGCAATACTTCCAGCTGACCCCCCTGGTTAACTTCTTTGTGGTTTTTGTTTTGTTTTGAGACAGGGTTTCTTTGTGTAGCCTTGGCTGTCCTGAAGCTATCTGTGTAAACCAGGCTGGCCTTGAACTTACAGAGATCCGCCTACCTCTGCCTCCCAAGTGTAGGGGCCCTGCTTCAGCTCAGATCTCATCTTCTAGGAAGCCCTTGATTATCTTGGTTTTCTCACAGAGACTTGAACCTCGCTCTCATTTACTTTGATGCACTGAAATGTTTTGTTTTGACATCTATATTCTCCTAATGTATTGCTACAGGGTGGATACCACGATTATTCACTATCATTCACAATGATAATCCCTGGTGTTCAAAGACAATAATGTTAGTTGATCCATATTAGATGGATATACTTTGTGAAAATTACTTGAGAGAATTTTTTTTTCTGTGAAAAAAAAGACAACCTTAATTTTTATGTTATCTCTCCCCGCCCCCCCCAAGACAGGGTTTCTCTGTAGCTTTGACTATATTAGAATTTGCTCTATAGACCAGGCTGGCATCAAACTTGTGGATATCCTCCTGCTTCTGCCTCCTGAGTGCTGGTATTAAAGTTGTTCACCCCCATTCCTTGCAAATTTTATATTGTCTTAGTAGCAGACTACGAGCTTTCAGTCCATTCAAAACATGTAAATAGGAAAGTTGACTACTATTTTATAAAGCTTAAAGAGCATTCCACAGTTCCAAACACAGTCTTGCATAAACCAGATCTGGTAGTACACACCATAGTTCCAGAAGTCAGTGGGTGGAGGAGACAGGATAATCAAAGGTCGGGGTCAGCCAGAGTTATATAAGACCTTATCTTAAACAAAGACCAAGGCCTAGCAAGATGGTCCCTGGGTAAAAGTCCACCATCAGGCTTGGCAACCTTGTGTGATCCTTGGTCCTCATGTGCTACAAGGGGAGTGCTGACTCTTAAATCCTCCAACCAAACCATGTAGAGTGAGTGGACATACAGATACACACACACACACACAAACAAACTGAAGGCAAATTTTGAAAAACCCATATAAATAAACAAAAAAGAAGGGAGAGAAAAGGATAATTTGGAATTTTTAGTTAAGCATGGAAGATTGAAAACATTAACTCATCTCTTGATTTTTTTGTTTTTGTTTTTTTTGTTTTCCCAAACCTCATTAAATCAATGAGTAACAATGTGCATTGGAGCAGAAAGTATAAGAAGAGATGGCAGAGAATATTTAGAAGCTGAAAAGCAGATAGAAGCCACCTGTTTGGTGGCACACTCCTGGAATCCTAGCATTCTGCAGGCGGTAGCAGAATTATCTCAAAACCAAACAAAACCCAGCTACCGCAAAAATTCTCCATGTGATGTAGTTCATCCTAGCTTTGTTCTCAGAAAACATGCCCAGAGGTACACGACCTTTCTGTCATGGGTTGGGGGAGTTATTTGAAATGATTCCAGGGAAACATCAGCTTGCTACCACATTGTCTTCTGGTAAAACTTAGTAGGCGATAAGCTTCACTCATGCTCAGAAAGCTTCCTTTAAACTTAAAGTTAGTGTGTGTGTGTGTGTGTGTGTGTGTGTGTGTGTGTGTGTGAGAGAGAGAGAGAGAGAGAGAGAGAGAGAGAGAGAGAGAGAGAGAGAGAAGGGGAGGAAGGGGAGGGAGAGAGAGAGCGAGAGTTCAGATGACAACTTTATTGAGTTAATTTTATCCTTTCATCTTATTGTGGGTTGTGGAGACCCAGGTCACCAGGCTTGTGTGGCAAACACCTTTATCTGCTGAACCATTTTGCCTACCCTGTCCAAACTTTTTGTTATTTTTAAATTAGTTGTTGTTCTAGTGGATCAAACCCAGTGCTTTGAGCATGCCAGGAAAATGCTGTACAACTGAGAACTGAGGCAAGATCCTAAGCTTTGAAGATAGGAAGTTTGAAGCTAGCCTGAGCTACATAAGAGACCCCGTCTAAACAAACAAAAAAAAAAACAAACAAAAAAACTGGACAAACAAACCAACAGATAAAATACACTGAAATAGTAAAGTTGAGTGGGAAGTATTAATGTGAACATATGAGACTTTTCATCTTTTAATGATAGTCCTAGCTCTGTTATTCAAAGAGACCGAGAAACAGTAACCAAATCAGTGGTATTGTTTTTTGGGGGGGGCAGGTTTGAGACAGGGTTTCTCTGTATAGCTTTGGAGCCTGTCCTGGCACATGCTCTGTAGACCGGCTGGCCTGGAACTCACAAAGATCTGCCTGCCTCTGCCTCCTGAGTGCTGGGATTAAAGGCGTGAGCCAACCCCCATCCCCGTCGTCAGTGGTATTCTTTTTTTTTTTTTTTTTTTTTTTTTGGTTTTACGAGACAGGGTTTCTCTGTATTGTTTTGGAGGCTGTCGGTCCAGCCCGGCCTCGAACTCACAGAGATCCGCCTGCCTCTGCCTCCCGAGTGCTGGGATTAAAGGCGTGTGCCACCAACGCCCGGCTCCTCAGTGGTATTCTTGATGTTAAGACTGAGGTCCTGAAGTATCTTCATTCATCCAGAGAAAGTGTCTTATTTATCCCATTCAGGCCTTGGACTCACTGTGTAGGTGACGGTGACTTTGAACTTCTAGGTTTCCTGCCTCTACCTCCTGAATACCCAGATTATAGGTGTGTGCTGTCAGTTCCTATTTATGTGATCTTGGAAATAGAACCCAGGGCTTCATGTTAGATACTCTACCAGTTGAGTTATACCTCTAGGCTCCCAGGCCTCCAGGTCCCTAGCCCTCCAGCCCATGAAGTGTCTTTTTCTATTAAGAGAATTGGTTGATTGTTGGTTGGAGAAATTGCAAAATCTAGATGAGGTAAGAAATGATTAATTGGTAAGTTTGCAGAATTTTGTTATAATTAATTGTGAAGAAATCAGGGCTCCCTTGGGTTATGTCGAGTCAGGTGCTAATTGAGAAAGGGCTCCGTGATCAAAGTGTGTGTGCGTGGATGAGAAGCTCGAAGTTCTGTCTACCTTGTTCTTTTTCTCCCTTGTCTCCGACTCACTAGGTAGGTAGGTGACTATCCAGTGAGGCCCTGTGATCTGTCTGTCTCTGCTTCCCCTAGGGATGGAATCATAAATAAGTGACCATACGGGGGATTTAAGTATGTTCTCACACACAAGGCAAGCATTTTACCAGCTACTAACCCAGCCCAACCATTTGACCTTTAAACATGATAGTGGCTTTAACTGATTAAAGTCCATTACTATTGTGTCCAAATAATTTATTTATATCTTAAAAGCAAATATTTGTAGGACATTAGTGAACCTGTTAGTTTTCTAAGAAACTGTCAAATAAAAGGAAGCAGTCATCTAGTTTGTAGTTATTACCAGTGATAAAATTTCAAGTTCCAGCAGGGCGTTGGTGGCGCACCATTAATCCCAGCACTCGGGAGGCAGAGGCACGCAGATCTCTGTGAGTTTGAGACTAGCCTGGTCTACAAGAGCTAGTTCCAGGACAGGCTCCAAAACAATACAGAGAAATTGTGTCTTGAAAAACCAAAAAAAAAAAAAAAAACAAACAACCAAATTCTGGGTGCTGGAGAGATGGTTCAGCAGGTAAGAGCACTGGCTGTTCTTCCAGAGGACCTGGGTTCAATTCCTAGCACCCACATGGCAGCTTACAACTATCTGTAACTTCTATTTCAACAGATCTGACACACTCACACAGACATATGCAGGCAAAACACCAATGTATGTAAAATACAAATAAAAATTTTAAAAAAATTTCAAGTCCCTAGGAGAAAATCAGGAATCCTGTATCTGCTGGACAAATGAATGTTTTTGATGAGGTGAGTAGTGAGATTGGGAAATTGCATAATATCAAATTTGGAAGTGATGTATGCTTTACAGAATTACTATTTTGTTTGTTTTTGAGACAGGGTCACACTACATGGCTCTGGCTGTCCTGTAACTGACTGTGTAGATCAGGTTGGCCTTAAACTCACAGAGATTTGCCTGCTTCTGCTCCTGAGTGCTGGAGCTGATGGCATGAGCCACCACACATAGCTAGAATTACTGATTTTTTTCATTTTATTTTACTTTGAGACAGGATCTCATGGAGTCTGGGTTGGCTTCCAAACTCCCTGTGTCACAGATGAATCTTCAAGTCTTGATCCTCTTCCCTCCATTTCCTGAGTGCTAGGATTGCACATGTGACCTGTACACCCGGTTTATGCAGTGCTAGGGACCAAACCCAGAGATTTATGCATGTTAAGCAAGTGTTCTACCCTGAGATACAGTCCCAGCTCTGGAACCACTATTTTGTAGATGACCAATGGAAATGTTCATTCCAAAGACACATTTGTTAAATAACTGATTCATTGGTTTGTAGATCTGTTCATTGGATCAATAAAGATTTGAGTGTGTGCTGCGCGCGTGCGTGCGTGTGGTCTGTTCTCCTGTCACCTTGTGGGATCTGGGGATTAACCTCATATCCCGCCTTTGAACTAGTGTTCTTACTACCAAGCCATCTCACAGACTCTTCCCTTCCACTTCTTTTTTGTTGAGATAATAGTCTTTCCATTTTGCTTAGGCTGGCCCCAAACTTCTTGGACTCAAGTGATCCTGCTGCCTCAACCTTCCTAGTTGCTGAGATTGTGGGCACTCAATACCATGTCTAGACCATAGTACAAGATTTTATTACAACACAACATGAAGAGTTCACTGGTATGGTTTCAATTGCCGATTACTGTAGCTGGAGTTTCTTTCCAGCCTGGTCCCACAGCTGTTTAGCTCCAAATAAACACACAGAGACTTATATTAATTATTAAACTGTTTGACCAATGGCTCAGGCTTCTTATTGGATAGCTCTCTCTTAATTATTAACCCATTTCTATTAATCTAAGTATTTACACGTGGTCTTAACTTACTGGAGAAGGGTCCGGACCTATTATTCCTTCCTTGGTTACATGGAGTCTCCTGGCAACCTCTATCTGTGTCTTCTCCCTAGCCTTCTCCTCCTCTGGTAGCCCTGCCTATACTACCTGCCTGGCCACTGCCCAATCAGTATTTTAGTCATCAACCAATAAGAGAAACATATATACAGAAGAACATTCCCCATCACAGTTTCCACATTACAATTCCACATACAATTTCCACTTTAAAATAATTTCTACCTATTAAGTTTTACTTAGTGTTAAAAAGAAATATCCATGACGGGTTGTAACTCAGTGGCAGAATGCTTGCCCAGCACATGTCAAGGCCCTGTCTGTTTGTTTGGCTTTGTTTTTGAGACAGGGCTTCACTGTATAGCCTTGGCTAGCCTGAACCTTGCTATGCAGACTTGATTGGCCTAGAACTCACAGGGGTCTGCCTGCCTCTTTGTATCTGAAAGCTGGGATCAAAGGCGTGTGCCACCCTGCCTGGTCAGGCTTTGAGTTTAATCCCTAGCACCATTTGAAGAAAGCAGTAAAAAGAAAGAATAGGGCTGGGGAGAAGCCTCAGTGGTTAAAATGCTTGTTGCTGACAAATCGGGATTGCTAGAACCCATGTAAATGCCAAGTATATGGCCAACCTGTAATTCCAGCATTGGAGTGCAGAGATGAGATTCCCAGAGCAAACTTCTCCAAGATTATCCGGGTTGAAAGTTCTGGGTTTGAGTGATACTGCCTTACTGATTAGGTGGGCAACCACAGGAGGATGACTCAATACCAACCTTGTATCTGTGTGCACATGTATGCATATGCACATGGAAAAATAATATTTAAATATTTATTTTTCTAATTGTTTATCTGTGTCAGGTTAGATTTATTTCATAGACTTCAATAAAAACAATGTAGAGCTGAAGATTAAACTTAAGATATGAGCAAGTATCAGATATGACTCTGTCTCTTGGTAAATCAGATATCAGCAGAAAAAACGGAAGTGTGGGGCCTGAGTGATGGCTCCGTGGGTGCTCACCGCCACTCCTGATGACCCGAGTTAGATTCCCGACCTGAATTTGTATGGCGGAGGAGAGAACCACTTCTTCCAAGTTGTCCTCTGACTGTGCACACAAAATGGTTCCCTGCAAAGTCTTTCTTATTTTGTCTCCTAAATTGGTCTTTGTCAAATACTCTATACTTACAATGCTAGTGTTACTGCCTATTCTGTATTAGATTGGAAACTCCCTGAGGGTAAAGATTGGATTTTTGTGTTCAGAGTAGAGAAACATAGCAGATGCTCTGTAGTGTGTGTGTGTGTGTGTGTGTGTGTGTGTGTGTGTGAGAGAGAGAGAGAGAGAGAGAGAGAGAGAGAGAGAGAGAGAGAGAGAGAGAGAGAGAACCATATGATGCATGTATACTATGTGAAGAGCGACTTTTGGGACTTAGGTCTCTCCTTACACAGTGGGTTCTGAGGCTGAACACTGTCAGATTTACACAGGAAGCATTTTATGTGTTCCCCCCAATTTTTTGGTCTTGGGATAATTTCTGTGATACAGTTGTAAAACAAAACTAAACCCTCTATACCTGTTTCTATTTATCATCCTCTTTTGTGTTCTAGTTCATGAAGCCTGGAGGTGAAAATTCAAGAGATTATCCTGATATGGCAAAGGAAGCAGGTAATAGAAAAATATTTTTGGAGATTGAACAGAGTTTTGTGTGGTCTGTCTTATTCCATGAGAGGGACAGCCTTGCAAGCGCAAAAAGAAACACAGTCATGGGGAGGAGCTCCCATGGAGCTTGTCCGTGGGTGTAGTGGAAAGAGAAGGAAAAGACATATGTTTAGCAGCTATATATCTAGAGTGGACACTGTTGTATACTTTCATATGTTATTAAGGTGTGTATTGAGATGGTGTCCTACTTAACTTTAATTATGTCAACTTGACACAGCCTAGAGTCACTTGCAAAGGGAGTTGCAACTGAGGGATTGCCCAGGTCTGAGTGGCCTGTGGGCATGCCTGTTCCCACAGACTGACTATTAATGGATGTAGGAAGGCCCCGCCCTCTATGGGTGACACTGTTCCTTGGGAAAGTAGTCCTGGGTTCTGTAAGAAAGTTGGCTAAGCATGAGCTTGTGAACAAGACAGAAAGGGAGCCAGCCAGCAGTGGTCCTTCATGGTTCCTGCCTTTGAGTGCTTGTCCTGATTTCCCAAGTGATAGGCTGTGAAATGAGGGGTAAACCAAGTCAACCTGCCCTTCCCTCCATTGCTTTTGGTCAGAATGTTTTGTCACAGCAACAGAAGGCAGCCAGGACAGGTGGCAAAGGCAGCTGGGAAAGGAAGGCAGGATCCCGCTATGAAGAGACACAGTGACCAAGGCAATTTATAAAGGAAAGCATTCATTGGGGACTTGCTTACCGTTTCATAGTGGGGAGCGTGGCAGCAGACAGGCAGGTATGGGGCAGCAGCAGAGGCCTTACAACCCGATCCACAGGCAGCAGGCAGGGAGAGAGCCAACTGGACTTTTGGAACCTCAAAGCTCACCCCTCGTGACACACTGGGAACCAAACATTCAAGTTCCTGAACCTTTGGGGCTATTCCCATTCAAACCACCACAACCGTTAAGTAGATAACTTAATTCTGGTGTGTGTTCCCTGTAGTTATAACACACCAGTGTCTTCCTTTCCTGGAAAAGCGCTGCTGACATTTAAGATGTAGTTGAATACTTGTGTGACGGTTTTACCTCTCTCCAGTTCATGGAACCAACCTAGAGAATTGTTTTTCTGCCACTAGGCTGAGGCCTACTAAATGAAGTGACATACTTAATCATTGTTTATTCTAGTACCAGAAAGACGTGGGTGACACACCTGTGCACTCGCTGGCTTGGGGCAGGGCTCCCTGGTCTAGAGCATTTGGTGTTCTTCAGCTGCCTGAGCGGTGACTCTAGTTCAAGCAAAGAGACCTACAACATTTGCTTTCTTTTTCTCAAAAAGGGAAAAATTGGAACTCTTTGCATGGTTGAAATAACTAAATGAATGTCAGCTTTGTTTAAAAATGAATAAAAGAGTTAGAAGAAAAACAGAAATGTTAAGGAGTGGTTGGGGAGACGTTGTAAGCCTGAGTTTCAGTTGATTTAGCAGAACACGGGGAACACCTGTATCTTATACTTGGAGACCTCAGGAGTCCCTCCAGTCCTTGAGAAGTTGCTAGACACCATCCTTCTAAGGAACCTCACCCAGTTCCTGCTAACTTATTGCTAGGCAGTCCCAAAGGAGTTTCTGTGGTTATTCCTTAAATGGCTGTGTTTATTTCCATGACAACCATGTGTACTTTGTACAAAATTTAGATTTTCCATCAACTTATTATGCGACCCAATATTCAGGTATTACACGGTGAGTCAGGGTATCTTATCACCCCACCCCTCCAGACGAAAGAGTCACTGGAGATTTGATTGACTGCTGTGGGTTCTTGGGGGCAGACACCATTTCTTTAATATTTGTCTTCTGTGTGTGCTCCCAGGGAGGTGAGGCAGGAGGTTTAGAAGCTCAGGATCCGCTTCTGCTGCACACTAAGTTATAGGGCCAGCCTGGGCTGCGTGAGGACAGAGAGCCTTGGGATTCAGTACATTGGGGTGCAGTTAGGACAGGAAACATCAAAAAGAAGGTTTGGAAAAGTGATGGAAAAGAGGAAGAAGGGGAGCTCCAAGTTGATTTGGTGGCGACTTTGTCATTTGAGCCGAACAGATGATGAAGAAGTAAACAGTGTCTGACGAAACTCTTAAACTGCATTTGCCTCATCTGAAGTCACTTTGCCACATGCTTTTTGATGAACTCCTTTTTGTTTTTACAGGCCAGAAGGCATTGGCAGATGCCCAGATCCCTTATTCCGCTGTGGAGCAGGCATGCATTGGCTATGTGTATGGTATGTGGTAAACAGAATGCTCTAAGATTATGCACATAAGATCTAGCAGCAGATTCATAAGTGAATGCTAAGCCTCAGGACAGAACTCAAAGGTTACCTTTGTTGGCTCAGTGTAACTGTTCTTGTCATTATGGTATTAAAACAGGAGACAAATTGAAATTCCAATTTTTTTTGTGAGTTAGCAATAGGACTCAGTTGGTAAAAGCTTTTTCATAGCATTTAAACATATTTCTTAGCTGACCTTTAATCCCAGCACTCAGGAGGCAGAGACAGGAAGATATTTGTGAATTTGAGCTCAGCCTGGTCTACAAAGTGAGTTCCAGGACATCCAGAGCTATATAGGGAGACCCTGTCTCAAAAACAACAACAAAGAAACAAGAATTTTTAGTTGGGCCTGGTGATGCATGCTTGTAATTCCAACAGTTGGGAGGCTGAGGCAGGTGGATGTGTCTGAGCTCCGGACCAAAAAAAAAAAGAATTTGTTTCTCACTAAGTTTTAAAGATTCGTGTATGCATCTAGGCCTTCCAGAAAAATATGACCCTCACTGAGTACAAACATGACTTTCCCTCTCAAGTAATGTGGCTCACAAGACAGGAATTCTGGAACAGCAAGGTGACAGCAGCTAGAATCTTCTACTAAAACAGCAATGCTCACCAGTCCTCTGGCAATACACACATTCTACAAATCTTGCCCTAGTAAGTCTACATCCTGGGATTCTCTAGGATCTTGAAAAGTAAAGGAAATTATGGCTATGCACTAGATTCATTTATAGTATTATTACACATTTTAGTTATTTTGATTATCTAAAAACAGTATACCATTACTTCTAACAAATAAGCTAGTAGCTTTCAATGGCAAAATACAGTACAATTACAAAAATGTAACACTGGGCTGGGGAAATGGCTTGTCTAGTATGGACAAGGCCCTAGGTTCACTTCCCGGTGTTTAAAGCAGAATGGAGTATGAGAAATGGGTAGATTTGAGTCAAAGTGTACAAACTTTCCTTCTTCTCCTTCTCCTTTCTTCTTTTTTTCCCCTAAGACAGGGTCTCAGTATGTAGCTCTGGCTGTTCTGGAACTCGCTCTGTAGATCAGGCTGGCCTCAAACTCACAGAGATCCGCCTGCCTCTGCCTCTCTAGTGATGGGATTAAAGGTGTGCACCACCACTGCCCGTTTAAAAAAATTCTTTTGTTGAGACAGGGTCTCATTCAGCCCAGGCTGGCCTCAAGTTCAAGGATGGACTTGAGCCTCTGGTCTTGTTGCCTGCACCTCCTATGTGATGGAATAGTGGGCCTGTACCACCACACCTGACTTATGTAGTGCTAGGACTGAACACAGGTCCTTTGCATTCTAGGAAAGCACGCTGCTCACTGAGCTACTTCCTTAGCCACAAAACTTCCTGAAGTGTTTCTGGATCATCATGGTGGATCTAGCCTGTGACAGTCCTCCCGGGTACCTGAAACTTAGAGTCTGTGCTACCGTGCCTGCTTCAGTTGTGGATTTTTGTTTTGTTTTGTTTTGTTTTGTTTTTGGAGACAGGGTTTCTCTGTATTGTTTTTGGAGGCTGTCCTGAAACTCGCTCTGTAGACCAGGCTGGCCTGGAACTCACAGAGTGCTGGGATTAAAGGCGTGGAATGTTTACATGAAAAGTAAATAATGGCCTATTATCATTTTGTGATGGCCTTTAACTATTTATGTGTGAGAACCAAGTGTCTATGAACCATGACTTCCTTTATCACACAGCTCTGTGAGAGTGAATTATTCACTGTTCCCTGGTGTGGTAGTTTGAAAGAAAATGGCTCCCAAAAGCACTATTAGGAGGTGTGGCCTTGTTGGAGGCAGTGTGTCACTGTAGAGGTGGGCTTTGAGGTCTCCTATGCTTTAGATACTCCCAGTGAGATAGCCTACTTCCTGTTGCCTGCAAGACGTAGGACTCTCAGCTCCTTCTCCAGTGTCTGCCCGTACATGTCCCACCATGATAATGGGCTAAGCCTCTAAAACGGTGAGCTGCCACTTCAGTGTCTTCCTTTATAAGAGTTGTCATGGTCATGGTGTCTCCTCACAGCAATAGAAGCCCTAAGTCACCTGACTATTTCCTTCTCTACCTCTGTATCGTGTAAAGAAAGTGAAGCCGGGTGGTGGTGCACACCTTTAATCTCAGCACTCGGGAAGCAGGTGAGTTTGAGGCCAGCCTGGTCTGCAAAGTGAATTCCAGGACAGCCAGGACTGACTGTCACTCAGAGAAACCCTGCCTCAAAAACCAAAACAGACAACACGTGTAAGCTGCAAGGCTGTGATCAGGGACACAAATACTAGGGTGGAGGTTCCAATCCCGAGTGAAACAGGAGGGGATGGAAGAGGACGGGACGAAAGTGCACGCTTCTTTACTGCCCTGTGTGATGCTCAGGCCTGGGGTCTCAGCTCTCAGGAGGTTAAGGCAGGAGGACTGCTGTGAGCACCAGGCCATCGTGAGCTACACGAAACCCTGTCTCAAAAAAGAACAAAAAAAGTGCACATAAGCATGTGTTGTGACTACCTTTTATGTTTGCATGTGTCTATATATCCATACCTATATAAAGTATATAATCTGACTCAGAGGTCATAGCATAGCGCACCGCCGTCCTGCCTGTGTAGGACACTAGGGCAGACTTTCATAGTGAAGGAATTAGCGTGTGGGCATGCTGAACTGCAGATCCACGGCTTCTGTTCTGTGGTGTTAAGGTTCCTCCTTGTTTCTCTGCAGGCGACTCCACCTGTGGGCAGAGGGCCATCTATCACAGTCTGGGACTGACTGGCATTCCTATAATTAATGTCAACAATAACTGTTCTACTGGCTCCACTGCTTTGTTTGTGGCCCAGCAACTGATTCGAGGAGGTAAGGCATGGTTGCTTATTATCATTATTTTTTAATGTTACATTTTATTTTGTGTGTGGGTGTTTCACCTGCACCACATGCTGTGGCCACGTGGCCAGGAGAGGGCATCAGAACTCCTGGGACTGAGCTACAGATGGTTGGGAGCCACCAATCAGTGCCCTTCACCACCGGGCTGTCTCTCCAGCCCCGAGTGTTTGCCTATTGCTCTAATGTTCTTTCTTTTAAAACTTTTTCTAAAGTGTTTGTTTGTTTGTGTATTTGTGTGTGTCTGAACTCACCAGGGTACATACACTCCATGAACTCACCTGTTCCCCTCAGTGGCATCTGTGACACATGGCCCTGTGTCACTTCTTTCACTCGATTTATTGTTTAAAAGTTGATTCTCATAGAACATGTCAGCATTTTGTTCCCATTTATGGCCAAATACCATTCCACTTCATGGCTAAGCTGTATCTTATCTGGGTGTTCATATTTTGATGGACATTATTGTTTCAGGTTTTTTTTTTTTGGCTGTTAGAATGAATGTTGCCATAAGCATTTATGCACAGGTTTTCTTTTTGTTTTGGTGGCCAAATATTTTCATATGCTCATGCATATGTGTCTATATATTTATATCTATATAAAGTATCATATATCGTAGTTTCTATTTCCAAAAATAGAAACTTCTGAAAATTCCCTTTTATTGGGCTCTCTTCTAGTCTACTGATTTGATAATTGTTCAGATCCATAGCACCCATGTAGAAAATATAATTTTGAGGAGTGGTGGCATATGCCTTTAATCACAGCATTCAGGAGGCAAGAGGTAGGTGGATCTGTAAATTCAAGGCTAACCAAGAGATACATAGTGATACACTGTCAAAAGAAAAAGAAAGCAGAGGCAGAGGGTGGCAGGCATGGTGTCATATACCAGCAATCCCAGTGCTGGGAAGGTGGAGACAGCAGGGTCCCTGGAGCTTGCTGTCCATCTAGTATAAGAAGAGCAGTGGGCTGCAGATCCAGTGAGAGACCTGTCTTATGTAACACGTGGAGAGTGATTGACTTCACATCACCTCTGGCCTCCATGTGCACACATAAGTATGCACACCTGCATGTGCACCATACAGAAACATAAGTGTATACATATGCACAGATAAATAATTTTATAGGATTATGTTTTTTTGGTTTTTCGAAACAGGGTTTCTCTGTATTTTGGAGGTTGTTCTGGAATTTGCTCGGTAGGCCAGGCTGGCCTCGAGAACTCACAGAGATCCACCTGCCTCTGCCTCCTGAGTGCTGGGATTAAAGGCGTGCGCCACCAATGCCTGGCTAATGGTTTGCCTTTTTTGTTTCAGTTAAATTAACATAAATTTATTTATTTGTATTTTTTGTTTTTTTTTTGAGATAAGGCCTGTCTGTTAATCCTGGCTGTCCCGAAACTCACTCTTTAGATCAGGCTGGCCTGAAACTCACAGAGATCCACCTGCCTCTGTCTCCCAAATGCTTTGACTAAAGGTGTGTACCACCATACGGAGTAGATTAATATTTAGATTGAAGTATTCAATAGTACTGTGTTAGGTTAAATTTCAATGTAATTGCATTTCCTTTAAGGTATGGCGGATTGTGTGTTGGCTCTTGGGTTTGAGAAGATGGAAAAGGGATCCGTGGCAGTAAAAGTGAGTCTCATTTATTGTTTTGGAATTGTTTTAACCTTATGAGAACCATCATAAACAGTCTGTAGTAAGCAACAGAGAACATGATTTGATGTTTTAAAGATACATGTATTTTAAGATTTGTTTGTTTTTATTTCTTTGTGCAAGTGTGTGTGTGTGTGTGTGTGTGTGTGTGTGTGTGCGCGCGTGTGTGTGAAATTCCATGTTACTTGTACTTGGGTGTGCAGAGGCCAGAAGAAGGTATGGGATCCCCTGGGCCTCCACAGCTCCACCTAAGCTCCAGACTGTTGTCATGAATTCCAGTTTCCCACTCAGTTTTCTGGTTTTATAGCATTATTATTTATAGCATTATTATTTATAGCATTATTATTTATAGCAATATTATTATTTGCATGATAACTGGCCCTCACCATTTGTCCCCTTCCCCCAGTCTAAATGTCTGATTGTCTGATGAGCAGAATCTTTTTTTTTTTTTTCTGTTGTTTTCGAGACAGTGTTTCTCTGTGGTTTTGGAGGCTGTCCTGGAACTAGCTCTTGTAGATCAGACTGGTCTTGAACTCACAGAGATCCGCCTGCCTCTGTCTCCTGAGTGCTGGGATTAACAGAATCTTAAACTCACGCATTCATGACTTTATTCCCTGCATTTTGAATATTACTGCTGAATAGTGGATAATGAACGTTTGATAAAGATTTTTTTTATTCACTGGGTAGAGAGATGATGCAGCAGTTAGGAGCTCTGTCTGCTCTTCCAGAGGACCTGCATTTGAGTCACAGCATCCTGGGGGCACCAGGAACGCACATGCTACACAAAACATACATGCAGCCAAAACATGTATACTTACAAAATAAAATATTTTTAAAACCTAAGGAAAAAACCTTAAATTCACAAGTATTTGTTTTGTGTGTGGGTCCTTGAGTGTCTTCACATGTCAAACAGCATGAGAGAGGAATTCTGAGGACAACCTGCAGGAACTGGTTCTCTTGTTGAACCATGTAGGTGACAAGGATCAACTCAGGTCATCAGACTGCGTGGAAAGAGCCTTTATCTGCTGAGCCATCTTCCTGACCCTGTAAATAATTTCTTAAAAGAACTAATAAACTAAGCATGGTGATCCCAGCACTCGGAAGGCAGAGACAGTCAGATATCTGTGAGTTTGAGGCCAGCCTGCTCTACATAGTGAGGGCTAGGACAGTCAGGGCTATGTAGAGAGACCCTTTCTCAAAACAAAAAACAAAACCTGGGAGAAAGAAAAAAAATAAATCAGGGCCTCATGTATCCCAAACTGGCCTCTGACCATTATGGGATACTGCCATGTGGCTAAGACTAGTTTTAAACTCTTGACCCTCCCACCTCTACATCCCAAGTGTTGGGATGTGTCACCATACCTCATGTTTTCCTGCGACAAAGTATTTCTTGATGATTTTATTCACACTGACCATGTTTGTTTATTTTGTTCTCAGGATAAGCAAATGTCTTAGCAATGGTGTAAGTTGCAAGAAACACTTTTATATCAACTGTCCATTAAATTTTATTTTTTCTCTTTAAGTTTCCAGATCGGACCAATCCAACTGACAAGCATGTTGATGTCTTAATCAATAAGTATGGATTGTCTGCACACCCACTTGCTCCACAGATGTTTGGGTGTGCTGGAAAAGAGCATATGGAAAAATATGGTATGTTGCCGGGCGGTGGTGGCGCACGCCTTTAATTCCAGCACTCGGGAGGCAGAGGTAGGCGGATCTCTGTGAGTTCGAGGCCAGGCTGGACCGATAGCCTCCAAAACAATACAGAGAAACCCTGTCTCGTAAAAAAAAAAAAACCAAAAAAAAATATGGTATGTTAAAAAACACCCTTTAGAGCAGTGGTTCTCAACCCTCAACCGTGCATGGTGACCCTTTACGTGTTTGCGTGGGTGTGTCATACCACCCTTTCACAGGGGCTCCTAAGAGCATCCTGCATATCAGGATGCTTTTTATGATTCTTAACAGTAGCGACATTACAGTTACGAAGTAGTCACGAAATAATTTTATGGTTGGGGTCACCACAGCATGAGGAACTGTATTAAAGGGTTGCAGCATTAGGAGGGTTGAGAACCACTGCTCTGGAGGCTGGGCGAGGTGGCACACACCTTTAATTCCTGCACTGAGGCATTTGGATCTGCATGAGTTCAAGGCCAGCCTGGTCCCCATAGTGAATTCCAGGCCAGCCAAGGATGCACAGTGAGATCCTGCCTCAAAGTAACAACAACAGCACCACCTTCCAGGCTTAATACTAGTCACATTCATGCAATAAGAAATAGCAGGTCTTTGTCCAGGACATGCGGAAAAGGCTGGATAAATAAAATAACTTTTAAAAACTTTACTTATGTTTAATGTGTATGGGTGTTTTATGTGTGTCTTAGTCTGTGTATCACATGTATGCTTGGTGCCCTTAGAGGTGAGAAGACATCAGATCTGCTGGGACTGGAGTTAAGGTGGTTGTCACCCATTATAAGGGTGCTGGGCATTGAACTTGGGGCTTCATGAATGTTAGGCAAGCACTCTACCAATTGAGCTACACCTCCAGTCCAGCCAGGGCCTCTTTTACGACGACACTAACCCTGTTCATGAAGGCCCTTCCAGCCAATACTAGCACTTGGGAATTAGAATTTTGGTAGGGTCAGCAGCCTTCAGCTCACTTCCTCATTCCAAAGGCCCCATCTCCCAGTCATTGAGGCCAGGTTTCAAAATTAGAATTTAGGAGGGAGGATATTAGAAAGATGTTTGAGGTCCTTTGATAATGTTACAAATGAGGGCTTAACGTCTTATTGGGAAGTGTAGCCATTAACTAGCTGTGTAGCAAGGTGGTACTTTTTTGTAGTTCCTTGTTTGTATTTATGGGTGCTGGCAGGTGACTGCAGCACCTTGCTCACACAGGCTCTGCTCTTCCTGCTGGACAGCACTAGGGATTGAGTCCACTAAGCCTGGCTTTCAGTTTTGTTTTTTTAAATATGAAAACACTCTTGTCTTAACTAATAATAACAGAAAAACATGAAAGCCATCTTGACAATACCCTCTCTCCAGTTTATGTTAAGCTTGGTAACACAGGTGGGCAGAGTGGAGGAAATTGAAAGTGTTAGATGTTGCTGGTGGAGAGGAAATGGGAATCTAGCAATTCCTCTTCTGGGATGATCTCCTGACTTTACCTGCCAATGTATGGAAGGTGTTTCTATGTGGTTAATATCATAGCACCATGTTGAGAAGATTCTTCAGTACAGCACTGGGTTAAGTAATCAGCTTGGGTATTTTTTTTATTTAAAAATCTATCTCCCATATAAAGTCATAAGGAATTTTGCAGCAAATTGTTTGAATCTCATACAGACCTTAAGTTTCCTTGCTTTCTGGATAATGAATGTGACCAGACTGTTTATTTATTATTCTTTGTGTGTGTGTGTGAGCATGCGTGTGGCTGCTCTGCACGTGGATGTGGAGGATGACTTTTGGGAGTCAGCCTTACCCTCCACCTTGTCGAGACAGGCTCTCTCTCCTTCTGCCTTATGCTGTGTGCTATGGGCTAGTGGTCCTTGGACTTTCAGGTGACTCTCTTGCCTCCATCTCCATCTCTTATAGGTTCGTTGTGATTATAGGTATGAGCTTTTACTTCTGGATTTTAACTAGGTTCTGTGTATCACACTCAGGGCATGAGGCTTGTGTGGCAAGCTCTTATGCCCACAGACTCATCTCTCTGGCCCAGTAGTTTAAAAATTGAAATTGCCCATGGCTGTCTGTTGAGAGATTACCAGTTTTGAAAGATAGAATGATTCACTTTTAGACTTAGGGACTTAGGAAGAGTTGTTGCCCTATATGTGGTTTTCACTTTCCTTTTTTTTTTTTTTTTTTTTTTTGAGATAGGGTTTCTTTATGTAGGCCTGGCTGGCTACCTGGCCATCCGGGAACTCACTGTGTAGACCAGGCTAGCCTTGAACTCAGAGATCTGCTTGCCTCTGCCTACTGAGTGATGGGATTAAAGGTGTGCATTACCACTGCCTTACAGTTTTCACATTTGTCTTGAAATAATTTCAGATTTCATGACAGTGTTGCACAAAACAAGTATAAAAAATGCCTAATACCTTGTTTCTAGATCATTTATATTTTGCTATTCTCATTTTTTAGTATCTTTTATCCATATTATTATATAACTTAAATAGTTGAGAGTGGGTCAAGAGTAATGGTTGTACACCTTTAATTCCAGCCCAAGCAGGAGGATATCTGTGAGTTCAAGGCCAGCCTGATCTGCATAGTGGGTCCTAGACTAGCTAGGGCTACATAGTAAGATCCTGTCTGAAAAAAAAAAGACTTTCACAGCTAAATTATAATAATCAAAATCAAGAAATTAATATCAAGTCAAGATTATCAATGTCTGTGTCTGAGCTATTGTAGGGGAGTTTCTTGAGCCTAGGCCTCCAAAGCCAGCCTGGACACCATAGCAAGACCTCAATCTTCCCCCACTTTAAGACAAAATTAGTTAATCTTGACATCATACTGTGACCCAATCTACAGTGTATACTCCTAATTTCACTAATTTATCCCACAAATACCGTTTTCTGGATCCAAAGCCCCTCATGATTTTGTTGTTTACTTTTCTTTAAAAATTAAAAAAATTTGGTAGGTGGTTGTGAACACCCGTAATCCCAGCACTCAGGAGGCAGAGGCAGGTGGATCCCCGAGTTCGAGGCCAGCCTGGTCCAGTTCCAGGGCAGTCAAGGCTACACAGAGAAACCCTGTCTTGAGACACCCCCCCCCAAAAAAAAAGAAAGAAAGAAGAGAAAAATCATTTGCAATGTAAAGTTTTATTTCTAGAGGCCTGGGAAAGTGGCTCAAGTAAGAGCACTTGCTGTGCAATCATAAGTTAGGACTTGAGTTCAAATCCCTGGGACCCACACATCACATATATAGCACATACACATACACTCACAAGTAAATAAACATTTAAAATAAGTCCTCTGTTCCTATTGTAGGAACTGTTTTCTGAGTGTGCACCCTTTGGTGGGGGGCACTGTCCTCTTCCCATGGTGGCTTTTGAATGACTGTGGGCTGCCATTTGTGCCCTCCTCTCTCCTTCAGGCTGCTCTTGTTACCCCAAAGGTCTGTGGTTGGGATTTGGCCCTTTTTTGTGTGTTTGTTTTTCTTTTTTTCCTAACTTACAGAGATTTTGAGGTTTGGAATCACCATTTTTCTGGTTTGGCTGATTATATGGTACTGTCCACTCCTTCTTGTTTGTATTATTTTTGGAGGCTTTGGAGACAGATGCAGCAGCTTCCATTGGCCTTGGAAATCCTGGTCCTGGTGTATTTTTACTTTTGGTTGTGAGCCTAACCTTTAACGACTGAGCCATCTCTCCAGCCCCTGGTATATTTTTAAATTTATGCGTTTTCTTAAATTTTATATTAGGTGTGATATCTTAATAGTTTTCTAGTCTAAAATTTGAAATAGTTGAGTTTAATTTTGTTTGTTGGCAGGATCTGCCTGTAGCCTGGGCTGGCCTGGCGCTCACTGTGTAGCCGAGGCTAGCCTGGAATTCACACAGTCCTCTTGCTTCCAAGTCCCTCCAGAGTTCTGGGGTTACAGGCATGAACCACCGCTTCTTAGAATCTAACTTGGTAGAATCAGCAGATTTTTGTGGTTTTATAATTTGGTTCTGGAGGATTGGGATCTCTTTATACTAAGCATATTCTTTGAACAGCTGAGTTGTTTTTTAAAGGGGAACATTGTGGGGGTGGGTGGCTCATGTAGTTAAGGATGGCCTTGAACTACTGATCTTCTTGCCTCTACTTCCCAAGTGCGGGGACTACAGGTGTGCTCTTTGCCTGGCAACAGCCAAAAAACTTAATTGGCAGTTCTAACTTAGTGGTCATTAGCTTTGATTCGGGTCAGGCTTAAGAAATAAGTAGTAAGTTATCGGCAGAATTCTTTTCTAGGAGATGATCTTTTATATATGAAATTGGGTTTCATGGAAAGCCCTGTCTTGAAAACAAAATAAAACAAGAAACAACCAACCCCAAAACCCCAAACCAAATCAGAAACAACAACAATAAATCTTCAAGTCTGTCTCCCTATAGTTTCTGCCCATGGCCTTTATTTTATTTTATTTTGAGAGAGGATCTCAGTGTATATAGCCTTGGTTGACCAGTAATTTGAAAGTGTAGACCAGGCTGGCGTCAAGTTCACAGACCCTGTTTCCACTTCTTGGATACTGAGATTAAAGGCATGTACCACAGCATCTGCCTTCTGGGTACTGAGATTAAAGACATGTACCACAGCATCTGTCTCCTGGGTACTGAGATTAAAGGCATGTACCACAGCATCTGCCTCCTGGGTACTGAGATTAAAGGCATGTACCACAGCATCTGCCTTCTGGGTACTGAGATTAAAGACATGTACCACAGCATCTGTCTCCTGGGTACTGAGATTAAAGGCATGTACTACAGTATCTGGTCCTGTTTAATTTTATATTTTGAGACAAGGTTCCAAGCTGGTCTTAAATTTTATCCTCCTTGTTTCCACTTTCTGTGTGTTGGGATTACAAGGGTTTGGCACCACTCCTTGAAAACAGTGTAAGTCCTGTCCTGTGGCCACAAACCACACTGTTAAAGTTCACCTAGTCTGTAGTTAAATAGAACCTCAGAAAATAACCTATTACATAATGTCCTTTGCTCAGGTTGTTTGGGCCAGACATGGTGACACATGCCTTTAGTCCTAGCACGCTGGAGGCAGAGGCAGGCAGAGCTCCGTAAGCTTGAGGCTGTCATACTCATCATATTGAGTTCCAGGCCAGCCAAATGCTAAACAGTGAGACCCTGCTTCAGAACACAAAACAAAAACAAAACAAAACAAAAAAGATTTGGAAGGCATGTATAATTCACTGACTGTAACTTGTCTAAAGGCCTTTCTGCTGTATCATAAATGGAAGTTGTTGGGGTTTATCAGGCCATGGAGGATGTGACTATTACACCTGCTCACTCCCGGCCTTGGGAATATCTGGCAGGCACTGGGTCACTGCTGGCAATACTCTCCAGCTAACCACTATGGCTCCAGACTGTATTTTCTAGTTTTGAAACTGAATCCTAATTCTACTAAATAGAATAGACAGTTTTAAATTTTTATCTCATATGTCCCTTCATTCAATGCATGAAATGCTCAGATTTGATTATAACAAACATATGAGTGATTGCTGTCTTTAACCCTGATATTGGTGCAAGAGAAACTATGGAAATATTTAGCAAAACACTGAGTTCTTCTGTGACATTTGATGATAAGCTGAAGAAAATAGCACATTGATTGATGTTTGCTTTCTCTGCAGGAACAAAAGTTGAACACTTTGCAAAAATTGGATGGAAAAATCACAAACACTCAGTTAATAACCCGTAAGTACTTCAGAGACATGACATGAAATTCTGATCTATCCTACTGTGTAATATGCAACTGTATCCTTGGAAAACAAATGTAAGATCTCAAAGATATTAGCTTGGGTGTTTATTTTTTTTCTTTTTCTTTAATATTATTTATTATGTATATGGTGTTCTGCCTGCATGTTTCCCTGCAGGCCAGAAGAGGGCACCAGATCTCACTATAGATGGTTGTGAGCCACCATTTGGGTGCTGGGAATTGAACTCAGGACCTCTGGAAGAGCAGTCAGTGCTCTTAACCTCTGAGTCATCTCTCCAGCCTGGATGTTTAATTTTTTTTTATAAATTAAAGGATTATGCCCAAATCATACTTTCATACTTTGCCTGCTTTTGCAATTCTAGTTCTTGGCTTCTTTATGCTTAAAATACCATTACAGCTTAATGGCTATTTATTTATTTATTTATTTATTTATGTTTCTAGGGTTGTTTGTTTTGGAGAGGGGAGACAGAGTTTGAGAGAGTAGCCCTAGCCAGCCTCCAATTTGTGGCAATCCTTCTGCATCAGCCTTCTAAGTAAATAAGTCCCACCTGGCTTTAATGATTCTTTTAAATAAAAATAAAAGTGACAAGTATTAAAAAATTTACTTGGAGCTAATGATACAGGTTAGTGCTGGAGATCATGATTAGCATATATGAGGTCTTAGGTTCATTTCTTTGCAAAGCAAAAAATTGTTAAATGCATATTAATTTTATAACTGAGATGGATTTCAGTCACTCTAATGCTATTAACTTATCCTGGAAGAACAATATAATTATTTATATGCTAAAAATAATCTGAAGAAAATGATATCGGCTGTATTCAGATGTGTTGTCCACCAGCATTCTGTGACTGCTTAGTGGTTCATACCCTTATTTACTTATTTCCTCCTCCTAGACTACCAACAATTTATGTATTTCCTACTCCTAGATTACAAACTATTTATTTATTTCCTCCTCCTACATTACAAATTCCTTAAGGGCAAAAGCCATTTCTTATCTCTGGGTCCTTAATGCTTAGCACAGAGGTAATCAGAAAATTGTTTCTGAACTATCTTTGCCACATTTACCAAATGTAGACCTGTAACAGAGACGTTTTCATGTCACACATACAAAAATCACCCCACATTTGTACTTCTTCATGCTGTTGTCAGTTTCTTAGGGCATACCTGATTCTGTCTTAGGTTTCGTTTTGTGCCTTTGTAACAAAAGTAACTTAGGGGAGATTTTATTTTGGCTCACACACAGTTCCAGGCCCATCGTTGCAGAGAAGTCACAGCCGCAGGAAGTTGAGGGAACCAATCCCATCACATTCATTCATCCCTTTCTGCTTTCCAACCTGGGATGGAATGGGATTGGCTGCTTCAAGCTTGCAGCTTTGATTTCCTTGTCATGATGGACATTATGAGTTAAAATAAATCCTTTTCCCTCATCCTGTCAGGTTATTTTATCATAGCAGTGGGAAAAGAAACTGAGACAAATTCCATTCCTAAGATCCAAGACAAATCCCATCTTTTATAGAAAACCTAAGGCTATTATGAAAGTCCTGGTGAATCCCATTGCTTATGTGGTGAGTTTAGAATCCTTTAGATGATGCATGGGGCTGCCTCCTCCTCTGCTTCTGTTGGGGGCATGAGGTCCTTGCTCCCACAGATCTCTGGGGAAACCAGGAATGCTAAGCACCCAGCATTGTCCTTTCAAAGGCAAAGATGTACAACCTGTTTTTCGGTGATTAATAGCTTGGTAATCTGTGTTATCTGTTGGACCATGGCATATCAAAGTCCTACAACCAGGACTGGAGGTGGCTAGTAATCTAAATGGCCTTTACATTCCCTGTACAGCCAGGGTTCACCCTGCTCCCACAACCAGAACCAGAGGTGGTTAACAGTCCACATGACCTCTATAGTGTCTGTATGACCAAGAACATGCCAGACCCTTCCCTAGGCCCTTAAGCTAATACAGGTGGCCTCTCTCAAGAACCCATCTTCTTGGAAGAAATGGCGTGCACTTTGAGTTAAGTTTCAATACAATTATTGCCTCCTTGTGTATCAGGGATAGTGTTACAGCTGGAAACTTTTTTGAAATGATATTGTGTTTAAATATGCTGGCAATAAACTGCCTGGCGTCAGACTTTCTAGAGTTTTGAATCAGTCTGGCCGAGTACGTCAGACTGAACTGATTTTTCATTTTCACCTTCCCATGGTTTGTTCCCTTGCCTGACCTGACCCTTGCAGGAACCTCTTACTACTCTTCCTCTTTCTCTGTCTTCTCCTCTTCCTCGTCGTCTTCCCCCATTCTGTTTCGGGCAGTGTACCTGGGACAGAGTTAGCATGCAGTGGGAATGCTGGTGTTGAGTAGCAGAGCTAGGGCGAGCGACTGAAGCCTGTGAAGATGTGTAGAACTCATGTACTTATCTTTAGTTCTTGGAGAACTGCTAAAGATGCTTCTGATTTCTGGGAATGTTGAGAAATTAACAGCAGTGCACTTTTCTGGCTTTGGGACTCCAAAAGGCAGATTTTGGCTTCTTCTGGGATGAGGCAGGAACATCAGGAGTACAAGGCCATTCACGCTCTGTTACTTATCTTGTTTGAGGCCAGCCTGGGCTCCATGGGATCCTAACTCCAAAAGAGAAAACAAAACAAAACAAAAATCCTGTTTTTGAGCACATTCCCACAAAATACAAAGCTATTGAAAGGCGGTGAGGATCTGCCATAAGTAGGAAGGACTGGAGCTGGCCTATGACACCTGAGCCTTCGCTCTTAGTCTGACAGTTCTCCTGGTTGGCTCCACTTAGGTGTCCTACAGGTACCTCAGAGCCATTGGGTCTACTCTGACGTTGTCATTTCCCTCTACCCTGATTTTCCTTCACTGTTCTTCATCACGGTCACTGACATCCAGTATCCCTTGTTATCTAAGACAGAAAGCTAGAACACCTTTGAATCTACCTCCCACGGTGTTCCATCCATACGCAGCTGGGGATGACCTCACGGGTTCTGCCTCCTTACTGACTATCTTTGGAAGTCATCCCTTTTCTCCATCTTTCATTTCTTGTCCTAACTAATTACCCTCCTCCGTCTCTTTGCTGATTTGCTTTTGATAATGTCATTTTTCTATCCCTTGTACATACCAAGTTTTCCTGCTGAAATATGGGTCTTACTGTGCCACAGCCCAGTGTAGTGCCCTGTTCCTCGCTGTTTTCAGTGTTAAATAGGAACGCCATAAAACGGGCTCTTCTGCTCTCGCCCTGGGTCATTCTTCATCTCGCCTCCTCGCCCCTCCCAGACGTCAAGGCCTCCTGCCTGTCTTGATGGACTTTTTCACTTCGGGTGCTTTGCATCTGCTGCCACTTCTGCCAGGAATCCTCTCTTCCTTTGCTAGTTATTTTGGGGCATCTGGAATGAATGCACAGCTGTGTGCTCCCATACCACCCACAGAACATCTCTGTCGTAGTCTGTATTGTACTGTAAGTATTAGAACGGAATGTTTTTCTCTACTGTGGAATCATACAGAGTATGTATCCATGTCTCTTTGCCCATAGGGTATGGCTTAAATAAAGTAGTTTCAGAAAATTAGTCATGGTCAAAGTTAACTTTATTTTTATGGAACCTGGGACATCACATGTGCTAGGCCAATGATTTTTCTGTTTGTTTCAGAAACAGGGTCTCATGTAGTCCTGGCTGTCCTTGAACTGGATATGTATCTGAGGATGAGGTGGAGCTTCTGATCCTCCTGCCTCTGCATCCTGGATGTTAGGATCACTAACATGTGCCACCATACCCAGTTTATGTGGTGCTGAGAACCCAGGGCCTCACACATACTAGAAAAGCACTCTAGCTGGGTGTGTTAGCACAGGCCTTTATGCACAGAACTCGGGAGGAAGAGGCAGGCAGATCTCTGTGAGTTGGAGGCCAGCCTGGTCTACAAGGCAAGTACTAGGACAGCCAGGCTACATAAAGAAACCCTGTCGTAAAAGGAAACAAACCACCCCAACTACCAGTTGAGCTACATCCCTAGCCAGCAAGTCATTTGATTTAGCAATTAATTAATTTACTATTGTTGTGTGCTGTGTGCATGATGTGTGTGACATGTGTATGGGGTTCAGTGAACAACTCTGTAGAGTCAGTTCTCTCCTTTTATCTTTATGTGGGCTCTGGTATTGCACTCAACGTTACCAGATTTGAGTGGCTGGAACCTTTACCTGCACCGACCTCACTGACCACAAGTCATTTAATATTAATGCCTAGTATTTTCTAATTGACCAGGGGAAGGATTAGGTGTTCTGTTCTATCATCTAACTGGTGTTAACACCAGCTGGGTACATTGTTACTTGGGGCTGGCATGTCAGCTTCAGCCCTTCAGGAGACTGACCTTACTTCAGATGCCTGTTGCTGATAGCTGGCCAACACACCACACTGCTGGCTTACCGGCTACAATCTAGGGGCTCCCGTGACCCCCTCAGGTTTATGATTCTAGAATAACATAGAACTCAGGAAAGTGCTGTGTTCGCGACTATAATGTCATTATAAAGAGCATGGTGGCATATGCCTGTTATCCCAGTAGAAAGGTCAGAAGTTTAAAGTCATCCTTGGCTACCTCGAAAGTTTGAGTCCAGTCTGGAATTCATGAGATCCTAACTGTGAGAGTCCCAGTGTAGAGTTTTTGTGCTCTCTCCCGACGGAGAGGGGCTGTTACCCTCACCGTGGCCTCCTCAGTACATCTAGGTGTTCCCCTCCCTTCTGTGTGTACAATTTTTGTTGGCTTTGTTATATGGGCATGCTCCATAAGTCACTGGACACATGATTGAACTTAATTTCCAGCCTTCCTCTCTTCAGCTAAGGATGATCAGGTTCAAATCACACCTTGAATCTACGTGGTTGGTCTCTTTGGTGAGGAGATACCTATCTTAAAGGTCACAAAGGAGCAGTATGTGGTGCACACCTGTAATTCTAGCGCTGAGGTAGAGGCAGGAAAATGGAGAGTTCAGGGCTAACCTGGGCTACAGTGAGAGAGATCCTCCTAGGGGACTGACAGGGAGGAGAGAAGAGTGGAGAGGAAATGATTGACTAGGGGCCATGCTTCAGCCATCTTATTAGCCTAACAGAGCCAGTTCTATCGCTTAGGAAATGGTTTTAGAAGTTCTGCACCTAGAACCCATCACAAAACCCAGGCAGGTTTTATTATTATTGTTGTTGTTGAGACTGTTTCAAGTAGTCTAGGTTGGCCCAGAACTCACTATGTGGCTGAGGATGACGTTGAACTTCTAAACCTCCTGCTCCCTCCTCCTGAGTGCTAATGCCAAGTATAGTTAGTGCCAAGCATAGTGTTAGTTCTGGGCATGTGCCACCATTCCCAACTAGGACAGGCGGTTTTAATATACAATATATGATTTCGGAATGTTTTTCCCCTTTATTTTAAGAACTTCATTCAAATGACTTTAAGGTTGAAACTTCTTTTATGTAAGTTTGTGGGTTGTGAAAAGAAAATTCACATATTTCTGTAACACTGGACTTCAAGAAAAATTACAGTTGCTTCCTTACATCTTGTAACTACTTATCTTGTATTTAGGTATTCCCAGTTCCAAGATGAGTACAGCTTAGAAGAAATAATGAAATCAAAAAAGATTTTTGATTTTCTGACCGTCTTGCAATGCTGGTAAGAAAAGCATGTTAACATTTCCTACGCATAAGCAACTGATCTCCCCGCCCTGCCTGTCCCTCCGTGGGTAGCTGTAGGCTCGATGTAGCTTTTATAGAATTACCAGTGTTGCCTCACTCGGGGTTACCTTTTCAATGTCGCCTCACTCAGGCTACTTCCTGAGCATGTGCCCTTATTTCCTGTTGCTGCTCTGAGGCGGATCCCCTCTTGTCAAGAAAAAAATATGTTTTACTTCTTCCTTCTCTAGTAATGTCTATTTGCTTTGGGTATTCGGTTTATTCATGAAAAATGTGCCTTAGGAGGCCTGGGCACCCCCAAGGTTCTTGGAGTGTTTGTTTTCCTGGTAGACTTCTAATACAGAAAATTTTTCTCTGTGATAGATATGAAATGAAGGAATAATAGCTTTAATGATGCTCACAGTCACCTCTTGAAAACTATGAGTTCTGTGTAGTCTCTGGAGATACTGTCTGGGATGCAGTTGAAAAAAATGGGTCAGCTGTCCCCTGTGAGTCTGAAGGACAGCCCACTTAGAAAATCTTTTCCAACTCAGCGAGGGCCTCTTGTGTGGGTCACCTAGCTTCACAGCTTACTGTGGATCTGTGTCCAGATCTCGAGGCTCTTAACTCTGGACTTTTTAGCATGCCCATTCTTTTCTGCCCCAGCTTCTAAGGGAATTCCAGACTGAGCTCTCTGGGATAGAGCGAGGCTGGAGTGGTGTGAGTCCATCGTAGTATCTTCACAGCACGAACACGGGAAACAGCCTTTTAGTCTCACGCCACAGAAGGTCTCCAGAATTTCCTCATGCATCAGTGGAGGCATATCTAGGATTCCTTCCGTGAGAACTTGAGGGAGAGACTGCAGCCTGATCATGAGGGCCATTTGAGGGCTTGCTAGAGGCTCAGCCTCAGTGGGATGCATGTGCAATTTAACACCAGAGAGAAGACTGTGGCTTGGCCAGGAGACAAACTTGCTCTTCCCTCCCCTAGTTCCCAGTCTGAACCCCTAGGAGATGGTGTTGGAGTAAGTAATTATTTTCACTTCCTCCTAGTCCCACCTCAGATGGTGCCGCGGCAGCAATTGTGTCTAGTGAAGAATTTGTAAAGAAGTATGGCCTGCAAGCCAAAGCTGTGGAAATTGTGGCACAGGAGATGATGACTGACTTGCCAAGCACATTTGAAGAAAAAAGCATTATTAAAATGGTATATTTGAGATTCTTTTTTAAAATCAAGGAAAATTATTTTTAAATATTAATTTAATTATAAATTATTAATTTTAAAATTAAGGAAATATTATTTTAAATTGCAACCTAACATTTTATTGTCATTAGCTCTGGAAGGTACTTATTTATAAGAACATGATCATTAAAGGTTCTTACATAGCCTATTGTCTTAGTTAGGGTTTCTATTGCTGTGAAGAGACACCATGGCCTTGACAACTTAAAAAAAATAATTTGTTTATTTTTATTTCTATGTGCATTGGTGTTTTGCCTGCATGTATGCCTGTGTGAGGGTGTTGGACCTTGGAGTTGTGAGCTGCCATGTGGATGCTTGGAATTGAACCCAGGTCCTCTGGAAGAGCAGTCAATGCTCTTAACCACTGAGTCATCTCTCTAACACAACCATGGCAACTCTTATAAAAGAAAACATTCAATTGACATGGTGGCTTACAGTTCAGAGGTTCAGTCCATTTTCATCATGGCAGGGAGCATGGCAGCATGCAGGCAGACATGGAGCTGGTTACATCATGAGCAGAAGGCAACAGGAAGTGGACTGAGACATGGGCTGGTATCTTGAGCATATGATACCTCAAAGCCCACCTCTACAGTGATACTTCCTCCAACAATGTCATACATACTTTGACAAGGACACACCTCTTTATAGTATCACTCCCTTTGGGGGTCATTTTCTTTTAAAGGACCACACCCTTCCTTAAGGATATGTGAAGGAGATAAGCTTGTTGCACTCTTGTAATTGGGAGGTGGAGGAAGGAGAATCGGGAATTCAGGGCCACCCTCAGCTACATTGCTAATCAGATGCTACTTAGGACAGAGCCATGACTATGGTATTTTAAATTAGTAGACATGCTGTTCTTTTGGTTTTTTGAGGAAGGCTTTTCCATGTAGTCCTGACTGTCCAGGAACTCTCTCTAGACTAGGCTGGCCTCAAACTCAAGAGATTCAACAGCCTCTGCCTCCCAAGTGCTAGAATTAAAGGCATGTGCCCTTATTAAATGGAAAATAAAAGATTTCAGACCTAAAGTAAATTGAACAATTGAAGATTCACTCCTCAACTACAGAAACAATTATGATGGAAAATTAGTTTATAAAATAGTTTTTACAACATGCTACAAATTTGAAATGCCCATATAATTTTTTTTTTTTGGTTTTTCGAGACAGGGTTTCTCTGTGGCTTTGGAGGCTGTCCTGGAACTTGCTGTGTAGACCAGGCTGGCCTCGAACTCACAGAGATCCGCCTGCCTCTGCCTCTGCTGGGATTAAAGGCGTGTGCCACCAACGCCTGGCGAAATGCCCATATAATTTAATCAGTGCTTTAGTTTGGTCCTAAAATGTTCTCCATAAGCTCTTGTATTACAGATTTAGTCCCTGATCCAGCAGTGTTTTGAGGTAGTGTGCTGCTGGAGTTTTCTTGTCCCGCCAGGTCCTGCTGCTGCTTCAGCCCCAAATCAATACATAGAGACTATGCATTCTAAACTGTTGGCTGATGTCTAGGGCTTCTTATTGGCTAGCTCTATTAATCTGTATTTCCATGTGGTCTTGGCTTGGCTGCACACACCTGTACTCTCAGCACTTGAGAAGTAAGGCAGGAGGAACAGGACAAGGTCATCTTCAGCTGCACAGTGCATCTGAGGCTAGTCTGGGCTGCATGAAAGCTGCCTAAAAGCTTTCCTGCTCATCAGCTGTTTTCTTAGGTATTTTGTCATAGCACTGGGATACTGACCAGCAAAGCCAACATCATAAAGTTGGGTTATGGCATGTAGATTATATTCATAGCACATTTTATATTTCTGTTTTATTCCTTGAATAGAAATTGAACATGATCTGCACAAAAGTGATTTGAATCCTCTATGATCTTCTAAAAGAAGTTTGCGTGTTTTCCTATAGAAATTGTTCCATATTTTTCACTGTGTCTGATTCATGATGTATTAAAATTTTTCTTTAACCAGTACAACTGTACATTATAATTCCATATAACAGCCAAGATAGACACTCAGAGACTCTAAGTCCTTTTTCAATATCTTATTTAAACTTTTGTAGTTTATGGTATAAAATTCAATATGTACATTCTTCTTTTTTGGATATCATTTTATTTAGACTTTTTATATAATGCAGAATCAGCTGAGATGTCGATGTATGTGGTATTTTGAACTTTTACTGTTATGCATGTGTCACCCTTACACCCCTTGGCCCCTTACTCACTCCTGAATGGATTTTTGGCTCTAGGTTGGCTTTGACATGAGTAAAGAAGCTGCCAGGAGGTGCTATGAGAAATCCGGTCTGACTCCAGACGATGTTGATGTGATAGAGCTCCATGACTGCTTTTCTGCCAATGAGCTCCTCACCTACGAAGCGCTGGGGCTTTGTCCAGAAGGTAGCGTCTTGGAAGAGGGCTCCTTGCCTGTGTAAATTCCAACGAGAGGGCTTCCCTTTCATCATTAAACAGTAGAAATCTCTAATTGCATTTTCCCTGGACATTGGCTCTGCCACACTGTGCAATTTGAGATGTAAGAAGTTTTGATAGGAAAGTTTTTTAGGATATCTAATCTTTGATAACATCAGCCCTGGCATAACAGGGCATATGCTTCATGTACATTATGCAAATCAGTACTTAGAGTGTACTGTTAGATTTTAAAGAGGATTTATTAGATCTACAATCCCAAGTATTTTTAAATTTGTGTTTAGATAAAGCCTTGAAGAAAGGAAAATAGAAAGCCTAATTGGTGGGATGTGAAGGGTTCCTCTTCTAAAAAATACTGTTGGTAGTGTGTGAATTTCAGTTGCTTCACTTCAGGCATGCTCAAGAGAATATCATTGTATCTTATTTTAGTCTTAATTTGCATATTCCTCTTGACTAGTGATGTTGAAAATCTTTTTATGGGCTTATTGGTCATTCATTTATTTTCTTAAAAAAAGATTTATATTATCTTTAATTGTGTGTATCTGTCGGTACTTGTGTGTGAGTAAGTGAATGTGGGACTTCAGGTGCTCATGGAGTCCAGCAGAGAGCGCTGGATCCCCTAGGACTGGAGTTACAGCTGGTTGTGAGTTACCCTATGTGGGTGTTAGGAATCAAACTTGGGTCTTCTGGAGAAGAGCAGTGCATATATTTAACTGCTGAGCCATCATCTCTCCAGCCCCTCATTTACCTTCTTTTTATGTATCGTGTGTCATGACTTTATTTAAATCTCTGCCCTTTGGTTGTCTGTTATTTGTCTTTATTGTATTGTAAGAATATATATATATGTATTTATCATAATATTAATATATATATATATATACTTCATATACATTCTTGATATAGGTCAATGATAAACATTTATGTTGTGAATATTTTCTTTTAGTCCAAGAACATAGCCTTCTGTGTACATATGGTTTAGATTGACTGTTTTATTATGTTTTCTGCTTATGTTCTGTGCTTTTTCTTCCCGTTGTCCTACTGTCTTCTTTTGCATTATTTGAACATTTGTAGTGTACTTTTTAAATGTATCTACTAGCTTTTTGGCTTGATCTCTTTTCAGATTTTTGTAAATAGTTTATGATTATTGTGTGTATTGTGGTGTGCACATGGCATATTGCATGTAAGGAAAGCATCCTGGAACTGCCTTTGTCTTTCCCCCTTTGTGTGGGTTCCTGGATCAGGCTTGCATCATGAGCATTTCCCTGCTGAGCCATCTCATAGGCTCCCCCCTTCCCCCAGGCTAGCCCAACAATGACCTTGAACTTCTGGTTGTTTTGCTTCTATTTTCCAAGTTGTGACACTTTACAAAGTTAGCTACCTCCTTAGCCCCTCTGCTTCTTTTCCTTCTCTAGAGGCTGCTAATAGGACAGCCTCAGGACTGTTGGCATTTGAGCCCAGTCTGTTAGTCTGTGGTAGAACTTGCGCTTTTGGGGTGTTCAGCAGTGAGTGTTCTTGGCCTTCTGCCCATAACATGCTGCAGATGCCTCCCACAGTTGTGACAACCAAAAATGTCTGTTGACATCCCTGTGGTAAAATCTCCCCAGTTAAGAACTACTGCTCCAAGGTCATGGTGTGGCTTTAACCTTCAGTCTCTTTGTAACTAATATTGTGCCTCTTCAAAGCAAGGAAGAAACCTCACCTCCGTATTAGCTGATTAACCGACTCCTCTTTGCCTCCACTGACTCCATTTTTGTAGTTGTCATACATATTGCATCTGTTTATGTTGAAAATATTAACATGATGAAATAATTATTGCTTTCATCATTTTTGAAGACATGAAGAGGAAAAAGTCTTTTATACTTACCTAGATATTTATAATTTTTATTACTTCATTCTTAAAGATTGTGTGTGCGTGTGTGTGTGTGTGTGTGTGTGTGTGTGTGTTACAGAATGCTTGTGGAGGTCAGAGGACAATTTCTATGTTTGAGACAACGTCTTCCTCTTATTGGTCATGGCTGTGCACCCTACAAGCATCCCGAGGTTCTCCAGTCTCCACTTCCCCTTTGCTTTAGGAGCACTAGGGTTATAGATTCATGCTGGGCATTTACATGGGCTTTGGGGTTTCAAATCCAGGTTCTCATGTTTGAATGGAAATACTTTCCCCACTGAGCCATCTCTCAGCCCAAGACTGACCTGGACTGGCAGGGTTTTCTTCAGTGACAGGTTCCTGAGAGGAGGACCAAAGGATGATAAATTAAAGAAGACAAGAAAGTTTGGGAACAGGAGGTCTTGTACAAGCATGGCTCCTGGCAAAGATGTTTATTAAAAAGTATAGCATCTTATATATAATTTGTAGGGGGAAATGAACACAGTCAGCAAAGAGCTAGTCAAACCATGTTGTATAAAAGGAACATGGGAGATTGCAATTACATCACAGATCCAGCATACAGCATCCTTGAAACTGATAACTCCAATCTCTTCTGGGGGAAAGAGCCAGGTTCCCAGGAACCAAAACCCTCCCTTGAGGGTCTGTCTCCATCCCAGACTGGACCTGCCAAGTCTGCCCTGTCCAAGGACACAGTATTAGCATTGCTTTTGTCCTTTAATCAGGGCCTCTGAGAGAGCCTTGGATCTGTCAGGCTCCCAACACAAGACCTGTGTTGTTTCTTATTTTTATTCTCTGTGTTTTGCCTGCATGTTTGTATGTACAGGCCAGAAGAGGGCGTTGGATTCCATGGAACTAGAGTTAAAAGCTGTTGTGAACTCCTAGGAACCAAGCCTGGGTCCTCTGCAAGACCTGTGTCTATAGTTTTTTTTTAAAAATATAACTAAATAAAATATAGTAAGATAAAACAAAAACTATCACCTTGGAGTTGGACAAGGCAAATAAACAGAAGTAAAAGTGTCTAAGAGAAATCACAAGAATCAGGGAACCACTGAGGAATACCATAAAAACACTAAATTGAAAGATAATCTCTGCTCACAGACCGTGGTGCAGACCTGTGCAGGCCCTGCAGCAGTCTCTCTGGGTTCTTATGCGCTTTGATCATATTGGGTTACAGAGGCTTGTTTTCTCTCCATCCTTCATCCCCTCTGGATCTTACACTTTTTCCTCTTCCTCAGAGGTGTGGGGGGTGAGTGGGTGGGTTACCCCATCCTGTTGGAAGGGATTTGATAGCAACATCGCATTTAGAGCTGAATGTTCCAAGGTCCTCTCTCTGTCTCTCTGCCTCCTGCCCCCCTTTGAGACAGGCTCTCAGTACACAGCCCTGACTGACCTGGAATTCACTCTGTAGACTACACTGGCCTTGAACTCTCAGAAGTCCTACTGCCTCTGCCTCCTGAGTGCTGGGATTAAAGGCGTGTGCCCTTACAGTGATGTCTGTTTTAGAGCTTTTGCTATTATCCCACAAGTCTGTGGAACACTTTCTTTTTAGTTTTGTTTCTGTAGAGTTAATGATCAAACCTGGGGACATGCAAATCTGTTCATTTTTTAATTTTTTAAATTCCCTTTCTGCTCTAAGCCACTGGAGTAAGACGACTTCTTCTTCTTCTTCTTCTTCTTCTTCTTCTTCTTCTTCTTCTTCTTCTTCTTCTTCTTCTTCTTCTTCTTCTTCTTCTTCTTCTTCTTCTTCTTCTTCTTCTTCTTCTCTCTCTCTCTCTTTTAATTGAAAGAATTTCTTTCTTTTTTTTTTTTTTTTGGCAGTCTTGTTAGCCTTGATCACATGGCCATCTTCTGGCTTCAGTCTCCAGAGTGATAGGATGTCCTCTTTTTTCTCCTTTTTTCTTTTTGGAGACAGATCTCAGACTGGCGATATAGCTTAGTAGGCACATTGCTTGCCTCACATGCTGGAGACCCTGAGTTCAGGCTCTAATAATGAGAAAAACAAAAACAAAGGAACAAAGCGACAAGGCCGTTCTGTGCAGCTTGTCTGGAGCTTGCTGCTAAGGAGCTGGCCTTGACCTTGTGCCTCTGGCCCTGCACCCTGTGGGCTAGCATCCTGGGCGTGCACCTCCACATCTGGATTTAGTGTTTCAACTCAAAGATTTCACTTTTCAAGTTTCTATGGGATTCACTGTCTGGCTTCCTGGCTCTGCTGAGAATTCCTGTCTTGGTGTTTTGTTTCTAGTGTGTCTCCTCCACCTTGCAGTATCAATCTGAAAGTCCTTGATACCTTTGTAATGCTGACTCTGGGGTTTGGCATCCACTGATGGCCTTTCCCCATCGGGTGTCAGCTGTTTGTGGAATAATTGTAGATGGCATTGGGCAGCATGAATGTGACTGTATCCAGTTTCCTCTGGAAACGAATGGTGGGGCACGTGTAGAAGCCAGGCATCAACCTCCAGTATCAAGTCTCAGGATTATCTGGGCTTATCAGTTTTAGGTTAGGTGGGACAGCCAGTGAGCCCCAGGAATCAACCCACCTGTCTCTGCCTCCCCAGCACAAGGATTACAAGCACACATACTAAATCCAGCTTTTTATGTGGGTACTGGGGGTTACACTCAGTCTGCATACTTACATGTTTACTGACTGAGTTCTTGACCCAGCTCCACTGTTAGTCGTGATGAGTTCTGTCTTGCCTTCTGAGGTGGCTGCTGATGCCCATGTTTAGTTCCCGAGCCAGGGCTGTGCTGTGTTGATTTGGGGCCATCCTGTGCATCCATAGCTCAGGAGTGAGCCTCAGACTTACATAAGTCTCACTCAGGATCAGGGAGGGGGCTCTGCTCTGGCCCTCTCTACTGTGGCCTTATTTGCTTGCTACTAAACCTGTGGAATTTCTTTTCCTGGTCCTGTTGGGTAGAAAGGTGGGGTTTCAGTGTGATGTACACCTGTAATCCCACCACTTGGGAGGCAGAGACAGGAGGACCAGGAGTTCAAGGCTAGTCTGGGCTACTTGAGACTGTCTGAAAAAGCCAAAGGTGGGGTGGGGTGGAGAGGAAGGGGGCAGACTTAGTTCTGTAGTGCTGACACTGCCTTGTTTTGCCATGCTGTGCTGTCCCAGGATAACTGCTCCCCTGTGCAGAATTGCTAAGGACAGCCTGAAAAATTACAACTGGAATTTGCCCTGTATAGCGGCTTTCCCAAGATGTCCCTTGCTGATCTTCCTGCTTTTGTTTGCTTTCCAGTCGTCTGGTTGCTATAACTAGCATTGTATACAAGGCTTCAGTGGTGGCCACAGGAGAAGAGCACTGTGAGGGAGGAGCACTGTGAGGGAAGGAGCACTGTGAGGGAAGGAGCACTGTGAGGGAAGGAGCACTGTGAGGGAGGAGCACTGTGAGGGAGGAGCACTGTGAGGGAGGAGCACTGTGAGGGAGGAGCACTGTGAGGGAAGGAGCACTGTGAGGGAAGGAGCACTGTGAGGGAGGAGCACTGTGAGGGAAGGAGCACTGTGAGAGGAAGGAGCACTGTGAGGGAGGAGCACTGTGGAGAAAAGAGTACTGTGGAGATTGTGCTTTGGAACCAAAACCCAGTTAAATATCATACGTGATGATGACTTTCAGGTTCGTATCCCAACTCTGAATGCTTCCCTGAAATCTAGATTCAGCGAGCAAGCTGCCTACTTTTCAGGGTGTCACAGTGTGTGTGTGTGTGTGTGTGTGTGTGTGCGTGCGTGTGTGTTTGTGTGCGTGCACGCGTATGTATGTGTATGTGCGTGCGTGCGTGCATGCATGTGCATGCGTGCGTGTGTGCGTGCATGCGTGTGTGTGTGCGCGCGTGTGTGTGTTTGCGTGCGTGCGTGCATGCGTGTGTGTGTGCATGCGTGCGTGCATGCGTGTGTGTGTGCGTGCATGCGTGTGTGTGTGTGTGTGTGCTGTTTTATTTGCTTTTTGATGGCTTGTCATCGTCTCAAACCTAAGTTCAGAATAGAACTGCTAATATTTCCCAAACTCTGCTTGATATCCTCCAGTTGGATATCACATTGGAAAACTAGAATCATTCTTCTTAAAGATTTATTTATTATTCATGCGTGTGTGTTCACCCACTGTGCATGTGTGCACACATGTGTAGGTCTACACACAAAGGCCAGAAGAGGCTGTTGGATTCCTTGGTTACAGGATAGTGTCAGCTGCCCAAGTTTGTTTCTGGGAACCAAACTTGTTGCAAGAGCAACAGGTGGCCTTAACTGCGAGCCGTCCTTCCAGCCTCTGCAGAATCAATCTTGAGTCATCCTTTTCACACCGCCCCCACCGAATCCATCATCCAGTCCTGGTGACGCTGGACCTGCCTTCAAATAAATCTGCATGTACCTCTTCTTGCCAGATTTTGTCACTGCCAGCACAGTTTCTTTGGTTGTGGTCACGTCACAGCTGGCCCTGAGTCTGCTTGGATTCCTTCAGTCTCTTCTCTAGGTCCAAAGCAGAATGGTTGTGTTAGAAGCAGGTCAGTGTGGTTCCTTTTTTCCAAGCCTGCTAGTTTCTCTCTCACAGAGGCACAGGCTGAATTCTGTCTTTTTACTCCTGACCTGTGTGACCCCAGCCTCTTCTCTCTGTGACTACTCTCCTGCAACCACATTGCCTCCTTTTTCTTCTCCTTTCCTATTTTTTGTTTGTTTTTCGAGACAGGGTTTCTCTGTGTAGCCCCATCTGTCCTGGAACTCACTCTGTAGAGCAGGCTGGCTTCAAACTCACAGAGATACCCCTGCCTCTGCTTCCCAAGTGCTGGGATTAAAGGTGTGCGCCACCAACGCCCAGCTTCCCTCCTTTGTCAAGCACTCTAGGTTCATTTTTCTCTCAGGTCATGTGTCTAGAACCCCATATGGTTTGTTCAGGGCTATCTTCCTTGTTCCCACTTTCTCAAACTCTTTTCCTTCCTTGTCTCCACGGTGCTGTGGCTACTCTGCATACTGTTATCTGGGCAGCACCCATACCATTATCATCACATCTGGGGCTCCCAGATCTTGTTGTGTGATCAGAAAAGCATTGGAGGAATATTTTATATAATCCATGAACTTTTATTTATTTTGTAACCATCACAAAACAGCGAAAAAAATCATTAACAGGCAATGGGGAGGCCACCACCAAGCATGTGAAATAAATTTGTAGTTGTTTTCTGTTTGGGTTTTAGTTTGAGACAGGGTTTCACTACATAGCCTTGGCTGGTCTGGAACTCAATATGTAGACCAGGTTAGCCTCAGTCACACAAAGCACTGCCTGCCTCTGTGCCATGATAAAAGGCCTGAGCACCACTCCTGTGACTGTGAAACAATGCTTTGTTTTCTTTTTTTAACCTTTATGGCTCATCAGGGTTTTCAGTCTTTCTCCTGAGTTTTATGAAAGTGAATTTCTGTTTGTTTTTTGTGGTGCTGCAATCAAACACTAGGACATGAACATGCTAAGTAAGCACTCTACCACTGAGCCACACTTCCAGTCCTGCCCTTTGTTTTGTTTTTTTGAGACAGGGTTTCTTTGTGTAGCCTTTGCTGCCCTGGAACTCGCTCTGTAGACCAGGCTGGCTCCTAACTCACAGAGATCCACCTGTCTCTGCCTCCCGAGTGCTGGGATTGAAGGCGTGTGCCATCATGATCAGCATGCTATTTTTTTAATTAAAAAAAAAATATATATACCACACAGTAATACAGCTGAAACCAGAGAGAAATAAATGCATTTGGAAACATGAATTTTGAAACTATAATTTTCAGTTAAAATATTGAGATTATTTGTTTTGATCATATTAGTTCTTTTCTGCCTCTCTGTTACAGTTGGAGCAATTTTGGAAGCTACAGGGTTATTAGGAACTAGTAAATGCTTTGTTTCATGTAGGACATTTTTGAAGGATAAGCCTTTATTGCTCAATATCATTACTCAACATTAGAAGCATTTGCAACAAATTATTAAGCTCTTAAGAAATGTTTATATTAAGAAATCCTTGGCTATATGAAAAAGTTAGGTAAATATGCCTCGTGTCCAACTTTTTTTTTTTTTAACATTTGTGAATGTTAACTTCTTTCTCCCGTAGGGCAAGGTGGAACACTGGTTGACAGAGGCGATAACACTTACGGAGGAAAGTGGGTCATAAACCCTAGTGGTGGGCTCATTTCCAAGGGACACCCGCTGGGAGCAACAGGTGACAATACATACAGACCTCACAAGTTTTTATCCTTTTCCAAGGGACACCCGCTGGGAGCAACAGGTAACAATACATACAGACCTCACAAGTTTTTATCCTTTTCCAAGGGACACCCGCTGGGAGCAACAGGTAACAATACATACAGACCTCACAAGTTTTTATCCTTTTCCAAGGGACACCCGCTGGGAGCAACAGGTAACAATACATACAGACCTCACAAGTTTTTATCCTTTTCCAAGGGACACCCGCTGGGAGCAACAGGTAACAATACATACAGACCTCACAAGTTTTTATCCTTTTCCAAGGGACACCCGCTGGGAGCAACAGGTAACAATACATACAGACCTCACAAGTTTTTATCCTTTTCCAAGGGACACCCGCTGGGAGCAACAGGTAACAATACATACAGACCTCACAAGTTTTTATCCTTTTCCAAGGGACACCCGCTGGGAGCAACAGGTAACAATACATACAGACCTCACAAGTTTTTATCCTTTTCCAAGGGACACCCGCTGGGAGCAACAGGTAACAATACATACAGACCTCACAAGTTTTTATCCTTTTCCAAGGGACACCCGCTGGGAGCAACAGGTGACAATACATACAGACCTCACAAGTTTTTATCCTTTTCCAAGGGACACCCGCTGGGAGCAACAGGTGACAATACATACAGACCTCACAAGTTTTTATCCTTTTCCAAGGGACACCCGCTGGGAGCAACAGGTAACAATACATACAGACCTCACAAGTTTTTATCCTTTTCCAAGGGACACCCGCTGGGAGCAACAGGTAACAATACATACAGACCTCACAAGTTTTTATCCTTTTCCAAGGGACACCCGCTGGGAGCAACAGGTAACAATACATACAGACCTCACAAGTTTTTATCCTTTTCCAAGGGACACCCGCTGGGAGCAACAGGTAACAATACATACAGACCTCACAAGTTTTTATCCTTTTCCAAGGGACACCCGCTGGGAGCAACAGGTAACAATACATACAGACCTCACAAGTTTTTATCCTTTTCCAAGGGACACCCGCTGGGAGCAACAGGTGACAATACATACAGACCTCACAAGTTTTTATCCTTTTCCAAGGGACACCCGCTGGGAGCAACAGGTAACAATACATACAGACCTCACAAGTTTTTATCCTTTTCCAAGGGACACCCGCTGGGAGCAACAGGTAACAATACATACAGACCTCACAAGTTTTTATCCTTTTCCAAGGGACACCCGCTGGGAGCAACAGGTAACAATACATACAGACCTCACAAGTTTTTATCCTTTTCCAAGGGACACCCGCTGGGAGCAACAGGTAACAATACATACAGACCTCACAAGTTTTTATCCTTTTCCAAGGGACACCCGCTGGGAGCAACAGGTAACAATACATACAGACCTCACAAGTTTTTATCCTTTTCCAAGGGACACCCGCTGGGAGCAACAGGTAACAATACATACAGACCTCACAAGTTTTTATCCTTTTCCAAGGGACACCCGCTGGGAGCAACAGGTAACAATACATACAGACCTCACAAGTTTTTATCCTTTTCCAAGGGACACCCGCTGGGAGCAACAGGTAACAATACATACAGACCTCACAAGTTTTTATCCTTTTCCAAGGGACACCCGCTGGGAGCAACAGGTAACAATACATACAGACCTCACAAGTTTTTATCCTTTTCCAAGGGACACCCGCTGGGAGCAACAGGTAACAATACATACAGACCTCACAAGTTTTTATCCTTTTCCAAGGGACACCCGCTGGGAGCAACAGGTAACAATACATACAGACCTCACAAGTTTTTATCCTTTTCCAAGGGACACCCGCTGGGAGCAACAGGTAACAATACATACAGACCTCACAAGTTTTTATCCTTTTCCAAGGGACACCCGCTGGGAGCAACAGGTAACAATACATACAGACCTCACAAGTTTTTATCCTTTTCCAAGGGACACCCGCTGGGAGCAACAGGTAACAATACATACAGACCTCACAAGTTTTTATCCTTTTCCAAGGGACACCCGCTGGGAGCAACAGGTAACAATACATACAGACCTCACAAGTTTTTATCCTTTTCCAAGGGACACCCGCTGGGAGCAACAGGTAACAATACATACAGACCTCACAAGTTTTTATCCTTTTCCAAGGGACACCCGCTGGGAGCAACAGGTAACAATACATACAGACCTCACAAGTTTTTATCCTTTTCCAAGGGACACCCGCTGGGAGCAACAGGTAACAATACATACAGACCTCACAAGTTTTTATCCTTTTCCAAGGGACACCCGCTGGGAGCAACAGGTAACAATACATACAGACCTCACAAGTTTTTATCCTTTTCCAAGGGACACCCGCTGGGAGCAACAGGTAACAATACATACAGACCTCACAAGTTTTTATCCTTTTCCAAGGGACACCCGCTGGGAGCAACAGGTAACAATACATACAGACCTCACAAGTTTTTATCCTTTTCCAAGGGACACCCGCTGGGAGCAACAGGTAACAATACATACAGACCTCACAAGTTTTTATCCTTTTCCAAGGGACACCCGCTGGGAGCAACAGGTAACAATACATACAGACCTCACAAGTTTTTATCCTTTTCCAAGGGACACCCGCTGGGAGCAACAGGTAACAATACATACAGACCTCACAAGTTTTTATCCTTTTCCAAGGGACACCCGCTGGGAGCAACAGGTGACAATACATACAGACCTCACAAGTTTTTATCCTTTTCCAAGGGACACCCGCTGGGAGCAACAGGTAACAATACATACAGACCTCACAAGTTTTTATCCTTTTCCAAGGGACACCCGCTGGGAGCAACAGGTGACAATACATACAGACCTCACAAGTTTTTATCCTTTTCCAAGGGACACCCGCTGGGAGCAACAGGTAACAATACATACAGACCTCACAAGTTTTTATCCTTTTCCAAGGGACACCCGCTGGGAGCAACAGGTAACAATACATACAGACCTCACAAGTTTTTATCCTTTTCCAAGGGACACCCGCTGGGAGCAACAGGTAACAATACATACAGACCTCACAAGTTTTTATCCTTTTCCAAGGGACACCCGCTGGGAGCAACAGGTAACAATACATACAGACCTCACAAGTTTTTATCCTTTTCCAAGGGACACCCGCTGGGAGCAACAGGTAACAATACATACAGACCTCACAAGTTTTTATCCTTTTCCAAGGGACACCCGCTGGGAGCAACAGGTAACAATACATACAGACCTCACAAGTTTTTATCCTTTTCCAAGGGACACCCGCTGGGAGCAACAGGTAACAATACATACAGACCTCACAAGTTTTTATCCTTTTCCAAGGGACACCCGCTGGGAGCAACAGGTAACAATACATACAGACCTCACAAGTTTTTATCCTTTTCCAAGGGACACCCGCTGGGAGCAACAGGTAACAATACATACAGACCTCACAAGTTTTTATCCTTTTCCAAGGGACACCCGCTGGGAGCAACAGGTAACAATACATACAGACCTCACAAGTTTTTATCCTTTTCCAAGGGACACCCGCTGGGAGCAACAGGTAACAATACATACAGACCTCACAAGTTTTTATCCTTTTCCAAGGGACACCCGCTGGGAGCAACAGGTGACAATACATACAGACCTCACAAGTTTTTATCCTTTTCCAAGGGACACCCGCTGGGAGCAACAGGTAACAATACATACAGACCTCACAAGTTTTTATCCTTTTCCAAGGGACACCCGCTGGGAGCAACAGGTAACAATACATACAGACCTCACAAGTTTTTATCCTTTTCCAAGGGACACCCGCTGGGAGCAACAGGTGACAATACATACAGACCTCACAAGTTTTTATCCTTTTCCAAGGGACACCCGCTGGGAGCAACAGGTAACAATACATACAGACCTCACAAGTTTTTATCCTTTTCCAAGGGACACCCGCTGGGAGCAACAGGTAACAATACATACAGACCTCACAAGTTTTTATCCTTTTCCAAGGGACACCCGCTGGGAGCAACAGGTGACAATACATACAGACCTCACAAGTTTTTATCCTTTTCCAAGGGACACCCGCTGGGAGCAACAGGTGACAATACATACAGACCTCACAAGTTTTTATCCTTTTCCAAGGGACACCCGCTGGGAGCAACAGGTAACAATACATACAGACCTCACAAGTTTTTATCCTTTTCCAAGGGACACCCGCTGGGAGCAACAGGTAACAATACATACAGACCTCACAAGTTTTTATCCTTTTCCAAGGGACACCCGCTGGGAGCAACAGGTAACAATACATACAGACCTCACAAGTTTTTATCCTTTTCCAAGGGACACCCGCTGGGAGCAACAGGTAACAATACATACAGACCTCACAAGTTTTTATCCTTTTCCAAGGGACACCCGCTGGGAGCAACAGGTAACAATACATACAGACCTCACAAGTTTTTATCCTTTTCCAAGGGACACCCGCTGGGAGCAACAGGTAACAATACATACAGACCTCACAAGTTTTTATCCTTTTCCAAGGGACACCCGCTGGGAGCAACAGGTAACAATACATACAGACCTCACAAGTTTTTATCCTTTTCCAAGGGACACCCGCTGGGAGCAACAGGTAACAATACATACAGACCTCACAAGTTTTTATCCTTTTCCAAGGGACACCCGCTGGGAGCAACAGGTAACAATACATACAGACCTCACAAGTTTTTATCCTTTTCCAAGGGACACCCGCTGGGAGCAACAGGTAACAATACATACAGACCTCACAAGTTTTTATCCTTTTCCAAGGGACACCCGCTGGGAGCAACAGGTAACAATACATACAGACCTCACAAGTTTTTATCCTTTTCCAAGGGACACCCGCTGGGAGCAACAGGTAACAATACATACAGACCTCACAAGTTTTTATCCTTTTCCAAGGGACACCCGCTGGGAGCAACAGGTAACAATACATACAGACCTCACAAGTTTTTATCCTTTTCCAAGGGACACCCGCTGGGAGCAACAGGTAACAATACATACAGACCTCACAAGTTTTTATCCTTTTCCAAGGGACAC